TCGGGCCGCAAACCGAGACCCAGACCCAGCCCAAGTCAAAGTCAAAGTCACAGTTTTGTCGCAAGCTCCTGCTTATAGCATAAGTATATGTATCTCTGCCAACTGGTTCTGCGTTCGCTTGGAGGCTAACCAAGCTAACCAACACCTCACCAGCTCAGCAGCTCAGCAGCTCTGCAACTCTGCAGTGTTCCAGGTATCGGCTCTCTGGTTAGAGAACCGGCAAATGCAAACGGCAACCAGCCCGGCATACGAGTTTATAGCGGATGCGTAAACGTAAACGCATTTGGCTCAAATGCCGTTAGGGCCTTTGACTAAATTGCATGGCCACATGGGCCCCATTGGCATCGACTTTGGCTCTGGCTTCGGCTTCGGCATCTGTCGTCTAGTGGATCCAGGCCGGGCAGCAAGATTTTCCCATTGACATTTTGTCGCAGCTCTTGGCTCTTGGCCTGGCTGCCTGGCTCCCTTGCAGCTCCCTCTGGCTGAGAAATGCTAATGCATTACATAGTTTGCGATCGAAAGCCGCCCAGATTGTAGCCTCAATATAGGAGTAGAGTAGACTCGGAGAGCAAGCGAAATGAAAGAATCCCATTCCCATTTGACGTAATCAACAACAGAATGTGGGCAGACCGCACGAAAACTAAAAAATAAAGAAAAAAAAATGTTTTGGGTCATTGATTTCATTCGCTATCTTTGCATCTTAACGGGTTTTCTTCACTATTTTGTAATGGGCCCCAGATCAATGTACCAGTCGCGACTCAAGATGTTTCTGGACGCTGAGGTTGAGCGCACGTTTGAGAGTCTTCCCTTTTCTGTGGAGAGCACGCAACTGAGCCCCCATTGATTAAATAACCATGGTCCGAGTAATGGAAACAACAAGAGGCCACAGAAGGCAGCGCTAGCCCGAAGACGGGATACACTATCCCCAAAATAGGGTCAATATTCATTCTTACTTATTGAATGGAATGAACATCCATGCTGTTCCTTCTCATTGGATTTGCGTGGAAAGAGCATCGCTGGGCACAGCAATATCGAGTCAAGTACCAACTTCTTAATTATTTTTTATGATCTTCTTTCAACCGACTACCGTCTCGTCTCACATTTGCTTCTCTCTTTGGCTTTCTCACAATTCTCATTTCGGTTGCCTTTTTATGGCTGGCTGGCTGGTTCGCTGGTCTTTAAATGCTTTAGGATTGTTTGAATTGAAATAAATTGGGTCAACGTGTTCCAGCAGCGTTAGATGGAAGATTGCTGTCCATTACAAGTTCATTGAGATGTGTTTTCATCTCCAATTCATATGGTAATACCCAAGGAGCGAGGGGTACATTTTACAGAGCACAGAGTGCAGAGAGAGAGAGAGGTAAATTGTGCATGATAATTATGATTTATGTGTAAAGAAAGGCCAGTCAGAGATTGGTGGGTAGCAAGGTGGCAAGGTAGCAAGGAGGCTTGTTAGGAGTGATGATAACATTTTATATGAAAAATGTTATTGCAATCAAACAATGGGGAGAGAAATGCGTAATTTGTGAATTAAATGGCTCTGCATACGGGAAGGAAATTGATTGCAAGAGCGGATGGACACAAATGCAAACTGACTGCGAGCCATAAGCTACTATGGATGCCATGGAGCCAATTGAATTAAGGATCATTGGGGAGAGGAAACCATTTAATTAACTAGCTTAGATCTTCGTTTGGCTTTTACAGTGCCATAAAGTACATAGACCTTTTAATGACTGCGAATGTTTGCTTTCTACTTAGGGGCTTCAATCACGATCTCGTCCGGGCATCTTCAAATCATCTTGGAGGGATCTGCATCTGCCCTGCGCATTGTATGCAAAATCGAAGAAGAAAGGGGGAGAATAAAGAACACAAAGTCGTGCGCTAAATATAAAATTTAATATTGCAACTTACACATGTTTCCTAGATGCTCCAAATGGCTGGACCCGACCAGGCTTGGCCTCCCTAGGTCTGGTCTGGTCTGGTCTGGTATGGTCTGGTATGGCCTGGGTCTCTCCCTCAGCTTGATGATTCGTTCTGTTGAGTTCAGTTCGGATTCGGTTGGAGCTGGCCACGGCTAAAAGCTCTCACGAGGTTTAGCTGGGGGTTCGGGGTTATTTGCTGATTTTTACGACTATTTCTATCTTAAAGATACAAGTTTATTTATGGCCCGGGCCCGGGCCCGGTCTCTCCCTCCCTCTGTGGTGAGTGCATAAAATGCAGGGAATGACATTGCAACACCCAGTAAGCGGGATCCGATCCGCATCCGAATCTCAAACCAAATCAGAATGGAAATGGTGATGGCGATGGCGATGGCAATGGCAATGGCGATGGGAGTGGGTATAGCTCTGGGAATCGGTACCAATAGCAGGGCACTAAACATGCCGTATGTACGAGTATTGTACGTATACATATGTGGGCAAGATGGCTTGGCCTGAGTCGAGTCGACTAGAGTTTAATGTGGTTTGCCGGCTAAATGCAAACGCATCGAGGGATGGGATATAGCCCGAGAGCCACTGTGGGGGCCACCAACCATCACATCACATCACAGCCTGAATGCTAAAAGGGTTCGGATTGTGGTTCGGGTCTAGGTCTGGGTCTGGGTCTGGGTCTGGGTGTAGGTCTGGGTCTGGGTCTGGGCCCGCTTCTCTTTTTTCGTACCTCCTTTATTTTGTTGATGTGCCTCATTAGGAGTGGCCAGTGGAAACCAGTTCCAGCAGGAGGAGGGAGGCACCAGTCGGACCCCAGACAATTGACAATTTAAACGAATTTCTTTCAAACCCAACACTGACATAGCCCCGGCACAAATGACGAATAGTTGTGGATCCCTCAGCCAAAGTTTACGCATGAAATATGCACCACCAGGAGGCAGCAGCCACAGCAGCCTCAGAAGCAGTCAGAAGTTGGCAGTGTCCGAGGACGGGAGACGGAGGGACGGGACGGACAGGACGCATGTATGAAGTGTCATTCATCTGGCCATAAACGCATTATTCAATATGGTGGGCAAGAGGAGAGCGATGGCAGCAATGGGATGGGAACAGAGCTAGACAAACGAGTGATCGGTAGACGTAGACGAACACCAACAACAGCTACAGCTACAACAACAGCAACAGCAATAGCAACGACGACGACGACGACGGCTGACTAAATGCCTCATACTGTGCTGGCCCTGGGGTCTGGGGTCTTGTGGGGCTCAGGCAGCTCTGCTCTTGTGCTGCTCCTTGACTATCTGTCCGGTTGCGTCCGTTTGTCTGTTTAGTTTTCAAGGTTAACAAGTTGCATTTGCAATTTGGGACTAGGACTGGATTCGACTCCAGGCTCAGGCCAAGAAGAATGATTGTATCCACCGACAGACAGATGGACAGACAGATGGACAGACGTACGACCCATCGACATCGTCTGCCGGCTGGGCGAACTTCCATGCGACCGCATCAATCGTTTGGTGAGAATTAAATGCTTATACCTTTTGTTTGGCCAGTACCATCTGCTCTCCCCAAGGCCCCGGCCCCAGCCCCAGCCCCTTCCCCTACCCCAACCCCTAACCCCTCCTCAAGAGCTCTTTCGTTAATGAGCGACCTGCTCAATAGCCCGAACGAACCAGAACCAGAACCGAAACCGAAATCAAAGAGCCCAACAAAAGTACAACAAAAAGCACTCTCATCGAATCAAATGATACCCTTGGAGGGGCTAAGCACATGATTCTGGGAGGAGTTAAGGCATTTTTGTTTAAGGAGAATCGAAAAAGGAGAACCTACATTTTAAGAATAAGAGGAATTTCGTTTGTAAAAGAAATAAAGAATATTTCCTTGTAAAACGTTCAGTTGTCTTATTAATATTTTTTAAGAACCTTTTGTTTTACCTTTTGCTATGGAAATAGCCGAATGAGATGAGATTTCAATTACTTTGAATCATCGAACCACTTTCAAGTGGACTTTCGTCCGAGAACTTTCGTCGAGAGTTCTCGTGCCATCTTCATGCCCTACGCCGAAGAGCCACAGACTGAGGATGGCTCTTGGGACCTCTTGGGAGCGGGTGCTGTGCAATAATACGACGCTGATCTATTATTCGCCAGATTGTAAAAATGTAAAAATCACGCTTTCGTGTTGTGTATAAATTGAATGCAATTTATAAATGTCCAGCATAGAATTAAATCCCCAGCCCGTCGGCACAGTCCACGATCGGGTTGGTGATGGTGATTTTTCAAAATAAACAACCTTGAGACCAGGCCAGCTCCAGCTCCAGCTCCAGCTTCAGCTCCAGAGCTGAGAACAATTGCCGACAAGAGCCGACCAGACCAGACCCCTAGAGCACGGTCAACAATAGACAGCAGCCACAGCCGCAGCCGCAGCCCAAAAGGATCCGCCAGATGCCGGATCGGGTCCCTTGGAGCCACAGATGAAAAATTGCGCCAATTGAATTTGGCCAGCGATTGTGGTCGATTGGTCCTCATTGGGTGCTGGATGCTGGCTGCGGGGGGCAGCTTGGTGCATTAGGTGCGCGGTGTGCGGAGTGCCAGGGCGTGCGAGGGGTGGCAGGTCCGCTGGGCGGTCGCTTAGTTTTCAACGCATTTATCAATACCCAAGTGGGTTGCTGCTAGTCTCGCTCCTAGGGCCGACTCCAGCGCGGTGCCGCTTATCCCAGTCAAGGCGTTGACAATGCCAGGGGCGGTGTCAGGTCGCTTCCTTTAATATATACGAAAAAATATCTACCAAGTTGCCGCCGTCTCCGACTGAAGATGAAGCCACAAAACCGATTTACCATAGCATGCATGAGTGATCGCCACCAGGCCAATGATGGCCAATGATGATTTGATTTCGTGCTTTTTAAGTACTACAAGTAATGGTCTGAAACATCATGCAACACCATGCCAAAACCCCGTAAGTAGTGTTTCTACTCCATCGAAATGTATTCCATCAATCTGTATCTTGTATTTTGCATCAATCTGCATAAGACGTACACTAAAGTAAAATATACTATATTGTGACATACATAGTAAAGTTAGTAAATAATTTATCAAACTGTATGTGTATATATGTATATGTATATTCGCATATTGGCACCTAAATTGTAAGTTAATTGAAACTAGCGACTAAACAACAAAAAAGTGGGTACAGAAATTCGTGCTAAATAAATTAAACGACAACAAAAAATACACATTTTCTCAATTTAACTGACTAGTATAAGCAGTAGGTGCAATCCTATCAGACTGCATTGCACATTTCAAACGAAATTCGAGCCAAAAAGTCAATTTAAGTACATGGACAGATTCGGGCTAAGAAAATTGTTATACCCTGGCAGATCGGTCATTCCGGTTGACTCAGTCAACCATTTATCCAACACACACCAAACTAAGCATGATGGAAGGATGAACATACGAATATGGCTGGATCGGATCGCCTGCTGATGCTGATTTTGTAGCATCTACTTAAATTCAGAATACCATCTGCAAGGGTATACAAATAAAAGTAAATTGACAGGTTTACTATGGGTTAGAGAATGTCATTCTTCTGTCTAAGATGGCCCTGACACTGCGCGCAGCTCTTCCATCAGCGAGGGCATGACCTCTCTCTCCTGCTCTGGACCAGCAGCAGCAGCAGCAGCGAGCAGCATGTTCAGCTGCTGCATATCGGAGCGACAGGCGGCAACGCCTTCGCTTAATTGGCACAAATTTGGCTGGCAACGTTGACTTCGCTCGATCAGATCCAGGATGTAGCTGTTGCGTGGGCGACCCGTCTCCTTGGCGGTTTGCTGAACGAGCTGCGGGGAACACGGGGGAATGAATCGAGGGCTGAATTATGCCAAAAGGAGCTGTACCTTCTTGTAGTCATCGATCAGATTGGCAACTTCATGGGCGGGTTCAAGGGGCGTTGTGCTGGCCGTGGACTTGCCCGAGTCCGATGCCTCAAAGCGTGCACGTTCCGCGACCAAAGTTTTCTCCATCATCTGTGCAAATATAAATGACATTTATTCACATTTTAGCGTAGCTGCAAGACTTCACCTTGATCTTGACCAGGTTCTGCTCGTGCATTTCAGTGACCTCCGCCAGCTTCAGTTTGATTTCTGGCAGCTCTTCAGCCCTTCGCTGGGACAGTCTACCGTTTCGCAGCTCTTTGCGTAAAAACTTGGCCAGCTGCGGCCAGCTTTTGGCACTCTGCACCTTTCTGCCTGTCTCCGTTTCCAGCACTTGCACCAGCGAGCGCAGGCAGTCCACTGCCTTGTGCTCCTGTCGCGTGCTCTGCTCGCGCTCTTCGAGCAAACCTTTCACCTGACCTTGTAGCCGTTGTATGTTCATCGAATCAACAGAGTGTATCTGCAAATTCTCGCGGAATGTTTCTTTCAGCAGCTCCAGCTCCAGACGATTCTCCTGGTCCTTGGCCAGGCTCAACTGTTGCAGATTGTGGAGCTCTTCATTTTGTCCGGCAAAGAGGTCATTCAACTTATCCAGCTCGACCGTTTTCTGCTGAAGTTGCAGTCGCATTTCTTGCTCCATTTGTTGAGTGACTTGCAAGGCCTCCAGAAGCTGACGCCAATCTGCTTCCATTTCAGATGTACTCTTGATCTTCGCATCCTGTTGCCGGAGAAGCTTCTGGAGCAGTGAAACAGTTTGCATTTTCTGGGCGTTGACTTCTGCCAGGTGCCTCTCCAGCACCTCAATGCGTTGTATCAGCACTGGGTCATCGGCTTCAGTTTGCGTGCCTTGGCTTTGACAGTTCTCTTGCACTTGCTCCTTCTTCTGGTCCATCTTTCTTAGCTGCTCTTGCCATATCTCTGCCTGCGTCGATTGGCTATCTAGTCTGGCCTCTGCTTTGACCATGGCTTCCCCCAGCCGGAGACACTGATCTGCGTAGTCGCGCAGCTTCTCACTGAGGGCGCTTTCCCTCAAAGAACTTTCCTGTCTCAGCTTGGCCAGCTCGATTTTCTCTAGTTCCAGCTGCAGTTTGGTGTCCTCGCACTTCGAACACATTTCTGCATATTGTCTGTGCAGGCGATGCACCTCCTGTTCTAGGTTTTTCAGTGTATTAAGTGCCTCCAACAGATTTCCGCTGAGGGTTTCTTTTTCCAGCTGCAGGGCGCCAAGGGAAATAGTTAGTTTCTCCACTTGATCCAGCTTCAGGCCATCACTTTGCCTCAGTTGCTCTTGCTCCAAGAGCTGAGCCCGCACAGTAAACTGCAATTGCTCCAACTGGCGCTGCTGCTCCTCATTCTGCGCCTCCAGTTGGGACATGACCATCAGTTCCGATTGAAGCTCATTCAGTGAGTTCTTCAGAGTGGCTATTTCACTGGTTTTGCTGTTGATCTCCTCGTGAAATTTCAAGCTATATGTGTGCATAACGTCCATGCTGGTTTCCCTGCTCAACTTCTGCTGATAGAACTGCTTGAGATCCAGGAATTCCTGCTCCTTTAGGGCCAGCAATCGCTCTTGAGTCAGCAATGTATCGCTTAGCTCGGCAATGACTTGACGCAGCTGATCCCGCTCGGCTGTAACACCGCGCAGGGCAGTTGCTCTCAGCTCCAAATGATACTCGAGCTGGCTCTTCTCGTCCAGCAGCTGCTTACACTTTACCGTCATGTGTTTGCTTTCCAGCTCCAGCTGCATCAGCTTTTCGTCGTGCTCCAGACTCAGCCGTTGTATATCCTCCAGGAGCATCTTCTTTTGCTTGCGGAGCACATCAATCAACTGGCGCTGGTCCGAGATTCGCGCTTCTTGCTGCTGTGCTTCGAATGAGTCCCCACAATTGCCATCTTCGTTCTCAAATGTAGACAAACCGAGAGACAATGGATGCCCTAGCTCACGCTGCTTCTCCAGCGATGCACACTTGGCATGCAGTTGCATTGATTCGTGCTGCAGTCTCTGATTCTCCAACAGATATTTGCGCTCCTGGGCGTACAGACGCTCCAGCGTCTCCAGGCGACCGTGTTTCTGTGACTTTAGCTCCTGCTTGTACCACAGCTCAGACTTCGCGAGCCGCTCGATTTCGCTGCGCGACTTTAGCAGCTCCTGCCTAACAAGAAACATTGATTTCTCCGGCTCCTGGTCCCGACTGCTGATGGGGCTGGTTCTGTTTCCCTCATCGCTGGTGCAACTGAAATGGCCAGAGTCGTCTGCCAACGCTGCAGCAGCCGCCCCCTCGCAGTCCATTGAGGTGCTGCGAATAGATTTTAGGGTGTGTGAATTCATGGCCCAAGGACGGGTTTTGTGGGCGGACTCACCTTATTTGTTGATGCTGTGGCTGCAGATGGGACGATTAGGTGGATCTTTTTGTACTGTAACAGTATCATGTAATGTAGCCAAGTGCAACAGCAAACAATAATCAAAAAACTACATTTTAAGAAAAATAAACAAGAAACGAGAAAAAACACTCCATTAGCAAACAGCTGATAGCGGGGACAGTGAATGTGACCAAACTCAGAGGAGTAAAAAAATACCAACAACATAGAATTTCAAAATGAGAGGTGAGGGAGTGAAAAACAGGAAAATAGAAAATAAATAAATAAATTATGAATTAAGGTATATACAATTTTTGATTCATTTTACATCTACTTTAGTATCTAACTACACATCTTGGTCATGACGAAATTTCAAAGTGCAAATAAGCTAGACTAAGGAAAAATAAAACGCTTAAAATGGCTAAAACTGAAAATAAATAAACAGCGAGTTGGGTCGTTTTATTACGATCCATACCAATCATATACTGTATGGTTAGTGAACGCGACGTCGTAAATACAATCGGATCAAAACCTTTTATATATAACATAAAAATTGGTCTAGCCGTTTATAAGATAAATACTAAATGAGCTACATCCGAAAAAAATTAAATTGATGGCCTTGCGGAATTTTAAAAATGTTAAAAGACATTCCATGTACTTAAATGCAAGATATAGCCTTAAATTTGCTAAGAGCACAGCACTGGACGGAGTGCTGGTGGCTGGAGTACCCGCAATGCTAATTGGTATGGGTTTTTTGGTATTCCCAGGGCACGGGCACACTGCACGCAAAACCATCACAAAAACATGAAAAATTAGAAATTAGCTTACCATCGAAAACTCTCCTTAAAGATCCTGGCAAGGCGAGGTGCGTGCGAATTAAGATCGTAGAATGTTCGACAGCCATGCACTGAGAGCATAGAATATCCCAATGCGCGTGCGGCGTGTGTAAATAGCTTCCAACCATTTCGTGCAATTGCGTCGTGTTACAAAACGTTGGCCCTGGCCAAATCCAACAACAACAAAAGCGACGAGTACTATGTGCAGTGCGGGCAGTGACAAGGCAATGAAGGTAGCTGTGACCCCTGGCGATGACGAATCCTTTATTATCTATCACGACGGCAAGGCCCTGCAACTCCATTGGAAGGGAGTGCCGCCGCTGACCCGACCGCCCGCATTGCGGATCTGTCGCACGGGCGCTGCTGACCGCGACGGGGTGCTCCTGTTGACAACGGACAACTCCCTCTACTCGGGACAGTTGCAGTCAAGCAGGAGCTCGCTTGATCTGACGCTTCTGCGCACGGACGTTGTTGATGTGGACTACTGTAGCGGCAGCCTGGAGCTGTTCGTGGTGCTCACCAATGGTTCCGTGCAGCGCCAACTCATCACCGGCCTCGGGCTGGGCAGGGACCTCCACCACCCGCATGCCTGGCAGACACTCAGCTTCGATCCCCTGGAGATTCTCGACGAAGGCGTACGTATACGTCGCGTCTGCTGCTCTGCCCAGGGCGTGGTCTTTGTGAGCGCCAGCGGCGAGACCTATGTGATGGGCAGTTGCGGCGAGGTCTTCAAGGCGGAGCTGCAGCCCCGTCATATGCGTCTCTACGAAGAGGGAAAGGAGCTGCTTGACTTGGCGGCGGGAAATGAGCATTTCGTGATGCTGGTGGCCCCCTACAACCTGGCAGATGATGTGCTGCAATTGCCGGTGGCCAGCAAAGAGGAGTCCGAGGACGATCGCGCCTCCGTCAAGTCGCTGAGCAGCGGAAACTCTGTGCGCAGCTTTGCCGCAAACACGAGGCACTTGCTTCACCAGGGATACGCCCTGCTGCACACCCAGCTCTTCACATTCGGAGCCTCCAACAACGGACTGCTCGGGACGGGGGATCACATCCGACGAGCCAATGTCGCCCGGCTGCAGAAACTGGACAGCATAGGTGTGTGCAGCATAGCGGCGGGGCTGGAGCACACGGTGGCGCGCACCCTAGACGGCAGGCTCTACCACTGGGGCCTGAACACTCACGGGCAGCTGGGCGAGGATGTGAGCGCCCCCAAGGAGATTACCATAGCGGATCAGGCAGCTGCGCTGCCCCTGGAGCAAAACTCTGCACTGGAGGCCACCTGTGGTGACTACCATACCCTGCTGCTGAATGCCTCTGGACAAATACAGTCGCTGCAACCGCCTCCTCCGATGCGACACCTGCAGCAGTCGAGCACCTACGCCCAAACCCTACTCCAGCTGCAGCTGGGAGCGGCCTGGCCACACCAGTTGCGTCTGCTGATGTGCTCCGGCGGGTATACTCTGCATAATCAACGCCAGTTCCAGCGGCACTACCACTACTACCTAAGCCACCTCCAGTCGCAGCTCCAGCTCCTGCTCAAGCACCGCCAGGCCGTTCAAACTCTGCAAATCTGGCAGCAGCAATCCTCGCTGGAGGCTCTCAGTGCTCTTGGCCCGCTGCTGGTCAACTGGGAGCGGATGCTCTGTCTGCTGGTGGCCACGCTACACTCCTTGGAGGGATTCTACCGGGCTGATTTTGTCCAGCCTGCCGATCTGCTCTTCATCTGCTACCACAAGGAATACATTGAGCTCTTCGAGGGCTACACCAAGGCCTACTGCGACGTGTACTCGGTGAACGGATTCGGCCAGGCGGTGGCCTCGATTGCCGGCCTCAGCAGTCCCCTCGCGGAGCTTAACGAGGAAAGCTATGTGACGCGCCTGTTCCAGCAGCCCTTCAGCATCTACCAACTGTTCATCCAGTTCATGGAGCTGCTGGTAAAGACGCAGTCCGAGTATAACGAGCATCGCCTCGCCTGGACGGAGTTCGCGCGGCATAGCTGCATCAGCCAGGAGCTGGCTGTGAACACCAAAGATTTCTGGAGCAGCAACGATCGCAATCCACGCATTGTGCAGTTCAGACGCAGCCAGCGACGGGTGATCCTCACATCCGCTCTGGTTCCCCTCAAGCTGGCCAACTCTGGCCTCAGCATGACCAGCAACAGCTTCATACTCTTCTCCGACTTCCTCTGCCAGGTGGGAGGAAACTCGCTCTTCTCCTATCCGCTGACCACATTATGGGTGTGGTCGGAGGGCGAGACTGGCCTGAGGCTGACTACGCCCGAGAAGAGCTTTCTTGTGGCCACGCGCTCCCAGGAGATGCGCAAGGTCTGGCTAGATCAGCTGCAGTCGAGCATCGTGGCCGCTCTGGGGAGACCTCTGGGCAGTCCCGTGCCCAATTCCCGCTCCACGGGCTACGAGTACAGTCGCGAGCATCCGAAGTACGCCAGAGTGAAGGCGTGTGGCACTTGGCGGAAGGGCGTCCTTCATGGCAACTGCTATCTGGAGTATCCCGACGGCAGTGTATACTGCGGCGAAGTCTGCCAGGGAGTAATCGAAGGTGTGTGTTCAACTCATTCTTTTGCATACTCAATAACCATTCCGTTCCCCTGTATTTTCTCTGTAGGATACGGCAAAATGGTGATTCCCTCGACGGGTCTCTATGTGGGCCATTTCAAGGGCAGCCGCTTCCACGGCCATGGCCTGTACGAGATCCACTGCAAGGACTCGCACGAGAGCGAAATCTACGAGGGCAACTTCTGCGAGGGCCTCTTCCACGGGCATGGGATGATGCGGAACAACCGCTACATCTACGTGGGCGAGTACCAGGCCAACACCCGCAGTGGCTATGGCGTCATGGAAGACCTGATCAGCGGGGACAAGTACATGGGAATGTTTGCGGACAACAAGCGCGTGGGCATCGGAAGCTGCATCACCAATCGAGGCGACTACTTCGAGGGCAGCTTTTCCGGCGACGATCTCGTGGGCAGTGGGGTGGCAATCTTCGAGAACGACTACTACTACGAGGGTGACCTATCCCTGCACGGCCCGAATGGCCGCGGCGAGTACTACATGCCCAGCGGGGATGCGGGCATTGGGCGGACATCAGCGATGGGGTCCAGCGAGGAGAACGACGAAAGCTACGAGCTTATTGGCAACAAGATGTTTGGCCAGCTCAGCGGCAGCTGGGAGACGGTGCGCGTGCAGGCTGGAGAACTTGTGCTGAACCGACGCTTCCCAAAGTACCCCAGGTGAGTCCTTGAGTCCTTGGGGCCCGTCCCCGTTCAGGGCACGTTCGTTCATCTATTGTAAAACTTGCTTCGTTGCTTAGTTCCCTGGGCCGACAAGTCGTGGATCACAATCGCAAGTGGCGCTCGTTGTTCCAGAACTTTGAATCGGATCTGGCCAGTTGCACGGCCAGCACTTGCTCTGGATCCACCCTGGCCGCTGTGCCCGGCAGTACACTCAAGAAACCCGTGAAACCCTCGCTTAGCACGGCCCAGCTTTGGAACTGCATAGCCGTGTACATGAGCAAGCAGCGGGCACGGGAGGGGTCCAAGCCGGGAAACTATTTCAACAATATTTTGCTCAGTCTGCCGCTGCCCCAGAAATCGCCATCCCCAGTGGCCAAGGCCAGGACAACAACGACTGCCTTGACCAAGCTGCATGCGGAGGCTGCTTCGGCACTGGATTTTCTCGGATTTCCGCCGCGACGCATTCACTCGCAGGAGGCGCTGAACAGCAAGCAGGGCGGCCTGCAGCGAGCTGACAGCCTGCTCTCGATGGGCCATAACTCCACGAGGGATTTGGACACAAGTAGCTTGGCCAGCTTTCAGCTGGATCAAAGTCTTCTGAACAGAAGCTTCAACGGGGAGGGGGGCCACGAGCCTAGTCCGCTCAGCGACAGCTTCGGTAGCATGACCCACAGCATCAACAACAACAACAACAACAATAACGTCGCCAAGCATACCAGCAACGGCAGCGACTGCTCCATAACCTCTACCAACTCCTCGACGAGTGCCATGCTGGAGCAGGTGCCCAGTTTTGGCATGGCCTCGACTGTAAGCGAGCAGGATGTCACATCCATTCGTGTGTACCTGGAGCAGGCGTTCAAGGATCGCCACCATCCGCTGCACGCCCTCAACGAGCGGATTGCCAACTGTTTCCACTACTCCTATGGCTATTGGAAGGTCAAACCCACACCGATCCTGGCCAAGCAGGCCATGCGCGAATGGGAATCCATCTCCCGACGCATTTACCGCTTCGTGCGAAAAATGTTTCCAGCCCTGCCCGAGGACTATTGCCACTTGGAGGGCAGCAGAGAGGTGATCTCCCACATTACTCTGCTCTATCCGCTGGTGCTGTCGGAGGGCATTTACTCCACCCTTTTCGTGCTTTACGCTAACAAGTACAGCCGCAAGGACGAGATGTACAGGCAAAACCTAAATCATGCCGAGAAACTTAACGACCAAGAACTTGTCGACCTGATGGGCCACGAGAGGTGAGAGGAAGCTGCATACATACCTACTATATATATGGAAAGTACTTAAGTTAAATCGAAATATACACATCCTCCTCTGTTGCAGTTTCCTCCACACTGTGATGCTGGACCCCAAGTTTGAGGAGTCTGTGCAGACCTTGAAGCAACTGCAGGAGAAGTTCAGTCCCCAGGACATGTTGACTGTGATACAGCGCAGCACGCAACTGCTGACAGAAGCGTACGAGCATGCCATGTCAGGTGAGCATCTTGGCTAGATCGATTCGATCATTTTGTACCCATTTAATCGACTTGCAGCCAATGCCGCCCAGCTGAATGCGGACAACATGATACCGCTCACAATGCTCACCATGCTGCGTGCGGCCGTACCCCATTTGGGTGCGGAGCTAGCCCTGCTGGACGACCTGACGGGCGGACCGAATTTCCAGGCCGAAATGAATGGCATGGCGGGCTATTGCTACACCACTCTAAAGGCTGCCTACGAGCATGTGACTCTAAGGCTCTGCAAAATACGCCCTGAGTCGCAGGCGAAGTATGGGAATCGGAATGGGATTGGAATGACCTATGTGAAGCTTTAAGGCATTGAAGATAGATTGATAGATGCATATATTATATTAGCTGTATATGTGTACTTCTTGAACGAACCTTGTGCAAATACCCCTCATAGGCTTACGAATGTTATTTATGTGCATACATACAATATATATGTACAGTACAGTGTGTGTGTGGACGATCGCCTGTGTCGATCAGTGTAGTAAAAGTGTATCTATATCTGTTTCGTATATTCTAAGCAAAACACACCCGATTAACACATTCCGATAAATACTATTTACCAGAACAAATAAATTATAAATTATGTAAATTAAACTGCGCTTAGTTGTTCGCATCCGCGTCCGTATCCTCAGTGGAAACTGGCAGATCTGGCTGCGCGGGGAACATGGAGGCGGACATGTGCTCGGGAAAGTGGGATTTGTCAAATTTGTAGAGAAGATACTTTTCGGGAAAGGTGGTCCCTTCCTTGTGGCTGTACACCAAGATCACATGGTCGTGCTGCCGGGCGATCTTACGTTTGGCCAAATAGGCCAGGGCATAGACGCCCTTGCGGAAAATGTTCTGACGGTGCGTGTGGAATTGGTTGGTGCGGAACGAGAGCATGGTCACGTTGTAGTACAGCGACACGTAGTCCTCCGCAGAGCGCATGTGGCTGACAAAGATGATGGGCGCCTCTGGCCGGAAGTGGGCAATCTTCTGCACCATGCGCGTCGTCACACCGATGACAACAATTGCCACGGCATGCACCTCCATGGAGGCGGTGACCACGGCCCGGGCCAGGCCGTCGGCGCCAGTATGCGATTTGTCGCAGTAGGGCACCTTGGCCAGCGCCTCGGGCGGCATCTTCTCGAAGAGGGCGTTCTGCAGAAAGCTGAAGTAGAATGACTGCTTTGTCTGGTGGCCTTTGACCAGGTACTTGTCCGGATAGTAAAACGTGTAGTAGTAGTGGCTGGGGTCAACCCGAAGCTTCTTCTCGTGGATCATCTCGGGATCGAAGATGATCGGCTTCTTGGCCGCGTGGACCAACTGCAAGAAGCACTCGGCATCTGGACACAGGTGCATGACATCGGGAACTATTTCGGGCTCGGCAAGTTCCACAAGGAAGCCATCGTACCGCCTGGTGGCCCAGTTCAGTTCGCCGTCGCATCCCTTGATATCGTTGAGCACCACCCGGGCATAGATACGCAGATTCTCGCACTGCATTATACCCATGGCGCTCTCCAGATTATCGAGGTACTTGGCGGTGCCAATAATGTTGGAAACCACCACATTGACTCCCACCTCGCGGGCAAATGTCAGATCCTCCAGTTCCTCGTAGGACATCCGAAACTTTGAGCAGCGTTTTGGGAACAACACGGGCATGTATGACCCAAGCATTCCTCCACGGACTACGCAGCAGTTGAGATGTTCTGGATGCACGCTGTGCACCGTCAACTGAATCTCGTTGCCGATGAGGATGAAGTCAAAGTTCACGACATCGCACAGCAGGAAGCGGGCGTTCACGTATATTATCAAAGACGAGCAGCAGTCGGAGAACTCCCGGTCGACAGTCAGTGTCAGCTTGTACCCCTTCTTCAGCTCCACGCACTTGGTATCGCCCTTGTAGTGTAGTGGGTTGAGGTAGCCCGTGTACTGAAAGCGCGGCGAGAGCTTCACGAAAATGGTGGAGACTACTGGGAAGCCGTATTCCTTGGACACGCTGATCTCTGCCTCGCGCAGTTGCACGATCAGCGACTGATTGTCGCGCTGGGTGCCCACGAAGAGATCCAGCACAAAGCACCGCACGCCATTACCTAAAAACAGGATCGAATCCATCACACGTGCACCTTTGAGGCAGGGCCCGTTCTTCCCCAGGGTACTCACGGAGCAAGGTCTTGAGTTCCTGATCGCAGCCAAGCATTGTGGACAGCTGGACGCATTTGCGATTGTCGTTGGGGTCGGCGCCATGGGGCGTGGTGAGCAACTGGAAGCCGGAAAAGAAGCTATGCCACCGATTCTCCTCGTGGAACTGCCAGTCGTCGCACTGATCCTCGCTCAGATCTTCGCCATTGAAGTCCGCTTCCCTGCTCGATATGGACGGAAACGAGTGCTTGGAGGTCAGCAGCCTCATCTCGCTTTGGGTTTTGTCGATGCTGCCACCGTCGTCCTGGCCCAGCAGGTAGAAGAACGTCTTGCGACGCTGCAGGCTGGCCAGCAACTCCTTGGCCCGCAGCACCTTCTCAACATCCACGGCGATGATCTTAAGGCGGCTGAAAATTTTGTCGATGGCTGTCTCAATTGTGGGCACCGCAGACTCCACATGATCCTCAGCGAACTCCATCACAAAATTTAAAAATACAAGTATGAATATATATATATAAAAATAATAAAAATAATGAATTTTAGACTGTCAGATTAGATCTTATCATATTCCAAGGATATTCCAGAACTATTTTTCCAGTTCCTATAGCCCGTTTGTTGCTTCGATTGATCGTTCCTTCACTACAAACATACATACATATATATACATACATATATATATATATATGTATACACCAATATCAAAGAAGTCATTCATACACTTTAACACGGTTTGTTAAGTTATCTCAACAATTAAAAATCTATTCTCACAAAGACAGTGATAGATAGTTATATACATACATATGTATGTAGATATAGAGGTCCGATTTTAAACCAATCTGTCGGAGTTTTGTGAAATTATCCTAAATCAAAAATGGTTAATTAATTTATTGCCGCCACTAATTTACATTGATTCAATCTTTTAGGTTTCGACTCATGCTCTTTGCCACCTAGGAGTATTTCAATTTCTTTCTCATTCATGTTCGTAAACTTTTCCACTAATAAAGTAAAATTAGCTCGAGGCGCAGGTAACTTTATTTTGTTACTGCCGCTGTATCTCATTTCGAATTTTCGTTTTTTTTTTTTGTTATTTATTTTCCTTTTTTTTCCCGCAGGCGAAAATGTTAAATATAGCACTGAGCGTCAAGTGAAATGTTTACAATGTGAGAGAAAGGTAGATGGAAATGGACGGGGCGGAACGGTACTGTTTGGGAAGAGGAGGAAGGATGAGGAGGCATAGGGCGCAACAATCGAGTCCTAACTAAGCGTTTTGGAATCTTTTTAGAATCCAACTGGCACAGCACTTGAGTAGAATCCCGAGCACCCGAAACATCATGGAGTTCCGCCACGAAATGCGGGAGGGCGGCGGAAAAAAGAAGGAAAAAATAACATCCAAAAACATAAACATCCAAGAATGTTTAGAGAATAAAAATGTTCATATTCGAAGCGAGTTTTCATCTTTTCCTATTCGGCATTTTCCCCTCTCTGTTGTTTATTTTCACTCGCCAACTGACAGATACGCGTACTCGTACTCGTATACGAGTATACTGGCTGACTAAGACTAAGGCCGGACCCGAGTGGGATCGGGAGTGGGAATCGGGAATCGTACTGCATGGAGAGTGCTGCTGACTGGATGCTGACTAGATGACTGGGTGTGGCCGCAGCCATGTTTAGACTAAGCAACCGATTGTTGAATTACGAGTATAGATAGAACTTCCTCTGCTCAAATCACTCGAGTGCGAAAAACCGCTTGAACTTTGGTGCTGAACTGCACTCATCGATCCTCCTCCTTCCATTCTCCAATACAATTAGTTTTTTCCGCCCCACCCCTTTTTTCCGATTTTAGAAACATTTTTCTATGCCAGAGGGTGGCGTGGGTGGGTGGATGGATGGGGGTCGATGCTGCAGCACTCTGCCGAGGTGTCGGGCTCTCGGGGCTGCCCATCTGCTGCCACTGAGCAGAAGCATAAATTGCCTGGCTCCTTCGTTCAGATCGTGGGCCTCCCCTGCACTTGAGTATACGTCTCCCTCTATCGCTCTCTCTCACTCGCGCTCTGTATGGCGCCCTCTCTCTGTCCATGTATATGTCTCCCCCCCTCACTCTCTCTGTCTATTCGACTCGCTCGCACGCCCATTCATTTCGTGAATAGAATTTTCGAAATGTCTTTGAGTTTTCAAAATTTTGGAGCGTAGGTGCAGTGCGTCGCGAGGCGTCAGCGTGTACGGTTCACTTTTCACTAAATGTTCATACGCTCGGAAAAAGAGAATAAAATCAAAGATCAAATCCACCTGCATACCTATTTTCATCAGTTAAAAAATATCAAAATATTAAATAGAATCAACTTGAATTGAATCTAAATTTTTAAGTTATATTTAAAGTGTTGCTCTGGAATAGGGAAAGTGACAGGAACGGGAACAGGAACAGGAACAGGATCAGTTGGCGGCCTGCCTTGCGGAAGTGGGCGTACATTTTCCAACTGTTGCCAAGTCAGCCCACTCTCCCACACACACACACACACACACACACACAACCACTCAACCACAACCACACACACACACACACACATAGCGTTGATAATTTTTCATCTTTCCAATATCCCACTCGACTGGCAAAATATTCGGTTTTTGGCTTTCGGCTAAAAATATTTAAAAATCCAAAAATCCACTCGTGTCTGTGGCGAATGTTTGTGTTGCTGCTGCTGCTGCTGCTGCTGCTGCCTGTTTTTCATAATTTTCAGTTTTATTTATTTATCCTATACATACTTGCCATATAGGCAAGTTGACGTCCGTCTTTCTGACAGTCTCTCTCCCTCTCACGTTGCGTGTGTGTGTGTGTGTGTGCTTGGTTTTCCTTTTTCTTTCTGCTGGCAACTGTCGAAAGTTTTTGCGCTTTTCGCATTGCCCATTTCATTTGGCATGTCGTCATTTTTGTTTATTCCACCGCCAGCACCACATCATACCACACACCATCATACCATTCAGCACGAGCCCAATCCACTTGCTGCCAGCCACCAGCCGCCAGCCACCACCCTTGGCCATGCATTTTCCTTGCGAATTTTCCCACATTTTCGCGGCCTTTGTCTTGGGAATAGTTTGGAGTAGGTGTAGGTGGATGCTGCTCTTAATTGCCAGCCTCATGCAACAAATCACACTTAAATAGGCATCATCCCATTCCCCAACCCAGTGGTTTACAACTTCCTCGCTTAGATATCTTTATAAATACATGCATACATACAGACAGACTATAGCTACATTCATATGTACATACGAATCTATAGAGAAGCGTACTCGCTCTTACATTTGGCATGGGGAGACAGCTGTGTGCATTGGCAGATGCCATCAGCATTGGCATCGGCATCGGCATCATCCTGAGTTAGTCCGTCCGTCATCGTCCGTCCCATGGCGTATGTGGGGGAAGTCCATAAAAAAAGAAACCAAACCAGCACACAGTTATAAAAATAAAACTATTTTCGTATGGCATGTGCATATAGAGTATAGAATATAGACCCTCGATCATTAGACGGCAGCGATGATCAGCAGCAGCCGCCGCCTCTTGGCACAGTTTTCCAGAGCACCGATTGGTCCATAAATCAATCGAAGCAAATTAAATTAATTCAATTTCTAAACACGCTGAGGCAAAAGAACAGACCTCCTAATAGTGCCATGTGTTCAAAACAGTCCGGGGCTTTCGCAGCTAAATATGTATACGATATACTCAAAAATATACAAAGATCTAAATTCTAGTCGATTTGTCTTTTTCCGCTTACTGGCGTTTTTATTCGACCAACGACAGGAAAGGGAAAAAGGCGTATTTACTATGAGTTTATCCAACAGACAACTGCTATAGCTCAATCAAGCCAATCAACTACATACATAGATAAATACATACATGTACATATCTACACAGGTGAGTACATCCCCATCATATCTATCTCTACAAATTTTCCCTTGGGGAAAATATTTTATCTAGCTAATCAAAGTCAACAGCTCCAACGATGCATTCGAATCATTTTGCGGCCCATTTACAAACATTATCATCAAAATTTCACAATTTTCCCTCTCATTTATTCGAGCAAAGAGAGACTGTCGACAAATGGACAGGAATAATGCTCGATTCTCCCAAGATTTCAATATGAATGACAAATTTTGTCCACGTTTTGATAGACGACCTTAAGACATTTAACACTTGAAACGAAATTAGAATTGAAAATCTGTACAAAACCAAAATTATTCCATTTCCTGCAACCTTCTAAATACATGTGTAGTTGACTCAGTTAAAGAATTATAGAGGTACTATCCAGATACCTAGAACTAATGGAATTCTGCTTCATATTAACACCAAACATACCAGTTTGTACATACATATATGTACATATGTAGATAACTAATTTCGTAAGGTATACAAAAATATGTATACATTCTGCAAACACAAACATTCGACTTCGGCACTTGAATTCCAAACAATTTCAAAAGTTAAGATTTTCCAGCTAAATTTTCGAACAAAAAACCCCAAATCAACCCAAATTTGGAAACATTCATCTGTACGAGTGTTGTACATATATTTCCTTCTAAGTATTCGAATATTTCAATTGCGCAAAATGTGCTCTGAATTCCTCGAGTTCGATTAATAATTAATTATTTCACAGCCAGAACAAAGAAATATGCGAATCTGATTCCAACAATGCTGCCAGATATTGCCGGTACGGTGCAGTGAAATCGAGCAAATTGCTTCACCCTCGAGCAGAGCAGCGCACCGCCGCGGCGGAACAAATTCGGATCCAAAACGGGGCATTCTTCGGTATTTCTGTAGCATTTCAAATGAAACGAAAATTAAATGTAAAATTTATTGTTGCATAAACAAAATGCCAAGAAACCGTATCCCATATCGAACGATGCGTATGTGGCACCTTTAAGTATTTTGTAGCTGCCCCTCCGTTCCTCCCAATGCCCCACCCTATCTACGCTATCCACCTCCCATATTCCGGCAACATCTTCATCTGACCGGCTGCTGCTGCTGATACTTCGGCCTCTGCTCTGGGCTCTGTGCTCTGGGCTGTGGCTATGTGGAACAAATACTATATGGAAGGAGGCTGGAGGAGGAGAATGGAGAGTTTAGTGCTGCCTCATGCCCAGTGGCCAAAAATAACATCAATGGGGGCACGAAACGTATCCAGAACGAGGGTGGGAGACCAAGAGCGAGCGGGTGGGTTGTTCGCCGTGTGTTTGCTTTGTTTATAGTTTTCTTGTAAACAATTGCGGATGGAAAAACCAAATCTCCGACATATTCGAGAAAAATCCGCTCTGGATAAAGACCAAAATCGAAACGATCGAAATTAAAACCCGACTGAACCGAAAGTGCAGAGCACAGAGCAGAGTGGGGCCAGCCGCAGCACCCGCAATCCAATCCCATGCGGCATGGACCACAACTTACGAGTATGTACATGGCGTCGAGTGTAGGATAAACAAGTGCATGGAATGCCAGAGGGAAGAACAATAAGAGCCTGTACCCCGATTGGGAATTAATTAACAGCCTCAAATTGCAGCTGAAATTTTGGTTTAGTATCGGAATCGGTGGGGGAATAAGAATGGGAATTGCAATGGGGGATGGGAGATTGGAGATGGGTTTGGGTTTGGGTCTGGGTCTGATCTTTAATTAATTCTTAAAACGGGTTTCAAGTAAATGTTTGCAAATTCATATTGTACGAGTGCGAGTACGAGTATTCACGGGTATGTATATGGATATTGGTCAATAACCGGTAAGCAGGGCAGCGCCAATTTTTGGCAATATAAAGAGGTGTCTGGCTGGACACGACTCAAATCAAGATCAGCTTTCCATCCAGACAGCAACATGTTCAAGACTGTAAGTATCGCTCCAGAGAGCTCACCGCTCACCGCATCTCGCCTCTAAGGATTACCTCATGTGATGACCTCCTCACAGCTCATCATCTCGTTGGCCCTCTGCCTGGTGGCGGCGGTTTCGGCTGCTCCAGTGGATCATGTCACTTCCACCACCCAGCCACCCGTGGCCATTTTGGAGTCGTCGAATGAAAAGCACGAGGATGGCTCCTACAACTTCTCGTATCTCTCCGAGGACGGCACCCATCGGCATGAGGAAGCTGTGCTGCGGAACCCGGGCACGGACAACGAGTTCCTCGAGATAAGCGGCTCCTACTCCTACTTTGATGCCAATGGCCAGGAAGTTACCGTCACCTACAAGGCGGACGACCATGGCTTTGTACCCGAGGGTGGTGCCATATTGCCGCAGATTTCGGTGGCCGCCAAACAGGTCAGCCAGCAAGTGGTGGCCCAGCCCGATCTGGAGTACGCCAAGCCCCCAAAGGTCTAATAAATATCCCAAACTAATGGAACCGAATTTTGAGTGTTTTTTGATTGATTGATTAATATGGTCGGTCCTCATATGCGTAGACATATCTCAAGGTTACCAGAAAGAACAATGCACAGAAGAGAAGGGAGCCCTCTGCTGAGGGCCACGATTGCATCCTCGATTTTAAAAGGAAGCAGCAGCTACCAGTGTACTAAAACCAGTTTTGTCTAGTAGGGTTTTTGTCGATGCATCATATTGGACAGCAACTCAACAAGGGCCTGTTCCTATCTTAGCTCCGAATGCAGTCAAGATCTGTCTCCCATCCACCCATGCACAACATTTTAAAGATTTTGTTACTACCGCCAAAGGAAATTAGTTGGAATCAAATGTTACGTTCTTCATTTAATGCAGAAACAATTTCAACTACAAAATAATAGCTAGAGGATCGGCTCCTTGGCGATCCTTGGCGATCCTGGGGTTCGTATAAGTTAACAGTGCGCTGAACAAATTGAGAATACAAAAAATACAACTAAGGTAGAGTCTAGAAGGTAGAGAAGGGATCGGGATCGGAATCGGGATCGGGATCCGGCTGGGAAGTTATTATAATACATAAAAGCTCAAAGATTCAATTAAAAACAATGCAATAAATACGAGTTGGATTCTGTTATGGGGAATGGGGAACAGGGCATGGGGAAGGGTTACTTCTTGACGGGCGTGGCCGGGGGCGATCGATAGGAGTTGACCAGGCCACCGCCAGAATTGGGCTTGCGCGTCTTAAGGCGGGTCTGCAGGGTCTGCAGAAGGCCGGCAAGGACGTCGTGATTGGGTATCTTCTTGGCAAACAGTAGGCGCTTCACCGAGTCATCGTAGGTGAGCAGAGCCACCATATTCTGAAGCAGGAAGCACTGGCAGTACTCCAGCAAGCGATGCGCATTGTAGACCTGTGCAATGGATATCATTATCGTTGAGATTCGCTGAAGTCTGGAGTGCTTAAGGAGTGTGCCGGCTCACCTTGGCATGTATGTACATGGCCACCACATTGTCCACATCGACCATTTCGGAGCAGCGAGCCTCTGTGTATCGGAGCAGACCCTCCAGCTGGAAGAAGCTGGCTGCAGCCATTAGCTCGAGGACGTCGCCATGCGCTACGTCTAGAGAGCCGCAGCCGCCGCTGTAGAGGAACTGCATGACCAGCTGGAAGATGTGATAGCGAATATCATTGATCTGGACCGTGGGCGTGGAACTGGCATCGCTCAATTTGGAGCTAAGCATGCTCTGGAACCGCGGCGAGGCTGTGACCAGGACAATCTTGTGCCCATAGAAGATCTTTCCCTCCACCCTGAAAGGAGAAGCGAAAGCATTACACACTGCAGTGGATTTAATTGGGGGATCCTTTATTCCTTAATCTCACCTAAATGTGACATCGCTCAGTTCCGGGTTGTTCACGAACTTGGGATCTATGCGGGAGCCCTGGACTGGCTGCATCTGCGGCTGCTCCTTTACCGGATGAAGCGTCTCCCAGCCGAAGCAGGTGGCAAATATGTCGGCCAGCAGTAGGGTGGTGCCCTCGTTCTTGTTCCGGAATATGTTGAACAGCAGCGGCAGGCACTCGCTCACGAACTGAGCGCTGTAGTCGTCCGGGCATACCTGCAGGAAGTCCTGCAGCAGTTGGTCGATCACAGCATCCAGACGCAGCTCGTGCGCCGCGGACAGGGCATGCATCCAGCAGTGGAGAGTCCAAGGCACCCCCAGTTTGCGCAGTTCTATGGTTATGTCTGGAAAACACATTAAAATATATTGCATATTTATTTACATATAAATCCCATCAAATTGGAGCGTCATTATTCATTCTCGGCTTTCGAATCGCCCCCTTCAATTAAACACGAATTCTTCTTTCGATCAGTAATTCGATCAATCTTCCAGCAATGAAATATAAAAAAGGAGAAGGAACGTTGTGCGTCGCTTCTGTGGACGCGACTCTACTTTTAAACGCGTACTCAGTCAGTATATAAATATATGAGCTTATGATTTATGTAGAATTTTTAAATATTTTCATTTTTAATTTTTTTGCTACATCTGTTACCTAAATATACATTTTAGATGTGGAATGGACATTGCAGATGCAGATAACAGATGCAGATGATCTACAATGTAGATTCTACATCTTCTCTGCGAAAGGTCGCGCATTGCACAGAGCAGAGCGTGTGCCAGCGAGAAAGAGAATGAGTAGCGTCAGCAGCGATGGAGGAGGTGGGGGAAGCAACTGAAATTTAAATTCTTCATTCTGGCTGAGAACTAGGCGCTCATCAAGACAGACGGACAGACGGAGTGACGGACGGACAGACGACATGGCTCTATCGACTCGACTATTGATGCTGATCAAGAACTTATACTTTATGGTGTCGGAAACGATTCCTTCTCGGCGTTGCACACATCCGTTTTTACCACAAATACAATATACCCCTTAACTCTTCGAGTACGGGTATAATAAAATGTAAACAAATCGCATTGAACGGTTTTTCGCCTCATCCGGTTTTAATTTGAGTTAACTTTCGGATTAAAATTTAAGTACTCCTGGGACTCGTTCTTTGGCTGCATTTCGAACATTGGGAACTACGAGACTCCCTTTATGCGTTCGAGTATATGCTATGGAAACGTGAGTTTCCGTGAATTACTCACCCAAATGGTTGTTTTCGGCACTGTGGTACATGGCCTCCTGGAGTCGCTTGATCTGCGTCTTGTTCAGCAGTGGTAGAATATCCTCGCTGTTGGCATTGGTCGGGGCATTGCCTGGACCGCCTCGAACACCAGCCACATCGCCCTCGGCCAGCATCTCCTCCAGCGAGAGGACATCTCGCGTGCCAGGCAGCACGGGATGGGTGAGCAGCTTGCGCAGGCACGAGCGATGGCCATGGGCGGCGGCAACGGAGATGGCACAGAAGCAACCCTTTTGCGCCGATCCCGCAAAGCAGAGCGAGTCCTTCTGCTGAGTGGAGAGGAAGGCATTCGCTCCATGTGCCAGCAGGAGGGCCACAATCTCTAGGTTGCCCGTTCCCGCGGCCAACTGCAACGGCGTCAAGGTACACTTCTCCTCGCTGCTGCGAGCCCCGCCCTCCACCTTGCCGCCCCGCTCCAGCAGAATCCTCAAGGCCACGTAGTTGGCCCGGCTGGCGGCAAAGCTCAGGGCTGTCCAGTGCTGCGTGTCCGGCAGTATGGCCGGATGGCCAGAGCTGCCCGCAGGCGGCACCTCCACATTGGGATCGCATCCGGCGTCCAGGAGCGCGTGCAGGGCCACCTCGTCGTTGCGGATGCTGGCAACCATGAGAGCAGTCAGGCCAGCGCTGTTCTGGGTGTCGTAGCGGGTTGTGGGCGGCAGCAGTTGGGCAGCCTGAGCCAGCAGCTCTGCTCGGCCAGTCAGAAGCAGCTGCAAAGAAGACGGACAGGGATTAGGCACTTCAATAGACATCGGCATAGGCACCAGTTGTACTCACCTTGAAGGCCACTCCAATGGTGGCTCGCCTGCCCAGCTCTGAGGTATCCTCGCCAATCCCAATACCAATCCCACTGACCACCGGGGAACTGGAGCTGCTGCTGCCTGTGCCCGATCCCGATCCCGTTCCCGTTCCCGTTCCCGTGGAGCTGCTGGAGGCCGCATTGAAGTGCGTCTTCTTGGTGGGCAGCTCCTCATCGTGGGCCACGGGCCGGATGGGACAGTCGACGCCCGGGAGCAGCAGTCGGGCTGCTTGCATCACATCATCCTTGTCGATCATCAGGGCGCTGCGGTGCTCGGCATGGGCCGAGGCGACCCTTAGCCATTCGGCCAGCGGCGGCAGGACAACATAGGCCCGCTCATAGCACAGCTCCTGGACATGATGGCTGGCAGTGTTAGTGGGCGGCGCTGGCGCGGCTTGGCCAGATCCCGAGGCGGCCAGCAGCTCCGTGTGCTCCAGCTGCGAGCAGCGCATGAAGTAGAAGAGCGCGGCCAGGGCGGAGCCAGAGAGGGCGGCGGCCAGCTGGAACTCCTGCTGGGTGCGCAGGGCCTTCTCCTTCAGCTCCCGGATGCTGCCCACGCAGGTGGCCAGGGAGGAGGCGCTGGCCCAGCAGGGCATGGTCAGAGCACCGGAGGCAATGCGCCCCGCATTGAGATGGGCGAACGGCTGCAGCAGACCCCAAACGTCACCCGAGTTGGCGATGCTCTGGTCGAGGGCGGCCGCCGTGCTGCCGTTGCTGCACTGCAGCATGATCTCCTCGAGCAGGTTCTCGATCCCCGCACAGAGATACACGGCGGCATATTCGTGTATAAACTTGCCCAGACGAGCGTCGGTCATCCAGCGGTAGAAGCGGCCGACGGACAGCTGGAGGCCCGCTCGCGAGGATTTGCTCTGCTTCAGCGCACTCTCCCCGGGCACGGCGAACATGGCTGCCGCCCGCATGCAGGCCTTGGTGCAGGAGTCGGCCAGAGTGGAGCAGAGCACCACGCGGAAGGCACCGGCCACTTCCTGCTTGGAGCACATTCCCAGTCCCGCCGAGAAGCGCTGGATCTCGCGCGCAATCCTCACCAGAGCCCGCTGCAGCAGGTAGCCCAATCTGGAGACAACCTCCACGGCCATCTGCTCCGCCTGCTGCTTGCAGCGGCCGCCCCTCAGCACCCGTATGATGCACTGCTGGCTCCACGGCGGATGCTGCAGCTCCACGAGGCGGTTGTGAGAGTCCACCCACACAAACTCGTCGGCACTCGTGCTGGTGATCACCGTCTCCAGGGAGGAGTAACGGCCCAGCCGTCGGGCGGGCTCCGAGCTCTCCGATCCGGCGCTGAGGCTGCTGTACGTGCTGCTGCTCGTCTGGGAGCGGAGTGTGAGCATGGCCAGCTTTATGTCCTCCAGGCCTGTGCCGCTCCAGGGCGCCTTGCCCGCCGGCAGGATACCCCGATGACGTCGCGATCGGGTGCTCCGATTGGCATTGGTCACTCCGGCTGCCAGCCGATCCTCGGGCAACGGTCCCAGGGTCATGCCTCCCGCCGGGGAGGAGCTGTGGCCTCCCGTGTCCGACATGCTGGCATGGCCCGAGCTCCGGTTCTCGTCCGAGGAGCTGTGGCACTCCTGCACGCGCTGCAGAGCCCGGAACTGATCGTGCTGGTGCGTTCTGGCTGGCGGGGCATTCCCACTGGTCGTGGTCGTGCTCGTGCTCGTGCTCGTGGTTGGTATGCCAAGTGTGGGTCGGCTGGGCGAGGTCTGGCTAAGGCTCCCACTCAGCTGCGGGGGCTGCGACTTCACGGGCGTACTCTGGACGGTCAGGCGAGCGGGACCCGCCACCGCGCGCTGAGGAATCAGTGCCTTGGTGGCCCTGACGGGGGAAGTCATCTGGCTGGGAAGAGGAAGGGCGAGATTTCCAGGTACTCCCACCTTGTGGCCCACTCCCTTGTTGGGGTGCTGGGCTAGCTCTTTAAACACGCGTGGTGCTGGCGCAGCCATCGACACCGCCAGCCCGCTGTGGGGTCCATGGGCAGAGAGTGGAGTCGACTGCTGTTGCTGGTGTGGTGGCTGCAACAGCGGTGGCGGCATGGGGGGGAGCCCAGTAATCTGACTGGGCGCTGGGTGCTGTCCGAAACTGGGCGGCAAGTTGCCAGTGGGTCTGCAAGAAATAATACGCATATAAATATTTTAAATATAGCAGTGTAGCAGGGCAGTGTAAATAAATATACGAGTATAGTATACATGTAGAATACGTATAAATACGTCGTAATACTCGACGTAATTAACTGATCTGATTTATGGCGGCCACATCGACGGTAAAGATAGTGACAGCGGGGATACTCATTTAAATAAGACTGGCCTATGGGCAGAATACTTTATGTGATTTCAGAATTCAGCACCCAATTTTGTGTTAAATACCTGTTCCATTTCCTCACCTATAAGTGATGCAGCTAATTAATATTCCCCAACGCAACTTTGGAGTCCCATTCTAAGACACACAAAGGCTACGTCTAACGGGTAGAGTAGCCGGTGGACTGTCATGTTTCCTCAAATCTCTCCACACACCACGGCAGTGGCAAATAATTAAAAGGGGACGCACACAGAGTAAAGATCTTTAAGTTCCATCTATAAGTCGTGGTCTTTGTTTGTCTTGCAGTGGAGTAGGAGTACGTCTCAGAATAGAATTTCCCAGAACATAAGGTTCAAATATCTTGCTGGAAAACGAGGATGAATGCAAAATATATAATGTGTGAAGCCCAAACCTTTAGAGATAGCTGGGAACGAGACATCATAAATACAAACAATCTTTTAGCAATATCCAAGAGGATGATCTCTTGAAAATGTAAATGAATATTGTAATATTATACAGTATGATGCAAAAGTATGCAAGAGTATGCAATTTTCTGAATTCTTTCTCCAGCTAAACATATAAATTTGTATTCGAAAGTAGGTTTGTCTTGGTGCCGTCCCCACGATTCATTCTCACATTTCTTTGCATCCCAATGATCATCATCTTCTAACTGGGTTCGGCCAAAAAAAAATAAAAAACAGCACAAACAGACGATATTAAAAGCCAGTTACGATATTTCATTTGCATGCGAAAAGTTTGTTGTCAGCGCTGTCAAAATCTTTTCATTCTCTTATTATGACTGTATTCTTTGTAGAACACAGAAGAATCAAGATTTTGCGCCCAACCCCAGACAGGCTATGCTGTAACTTGAGCTCTGATTGACCCAAATTTTTAATTTCGCCGTAGCTTGACACATCTTCCATTGTCTATCCAGACGAATCTTCAATGGTTTGGACAACGTTCTGTGCTAAATACGATTTATGGATTAAATTTCTTTGCCTTTTTTCCATGGTCCCATTCCTAAGGAAACTTGATTAGTCTTTTCATTCTCGAGCAGTGACCTTTCGTTTAGATTTTCTTACAACGATTTTATTTTCGATTATCAAAAAATTATATGTGGATTATGTTTTAGATGTTTTCTCGATATGTTTTGGGAACAGAGATACGAAAATTGTTGGAAAATCTGATGGCTTGTATAAGCTTTAAAATGTTTCCTTAATGCCTTCATTTTACTTTGATGTCAGCAGTTTTATGTGATTTTCATGCTGTGAGATATTTGGTGTGGATCATTCATCCACATTAAAGTGTTTCCGAATTGCTGATTTAGTTGCTATGGCTATACTTGTAGAGTTTATTCTTTCATATTTAAATTTGATGGTGTCTTAAGTGAAAATCGTTTACGATTGTTCTTTTCTCTGCATATTTTAATGCGTTTCCAATTGAACTGATAATTTTAAAACTTTTTGAATAATTTTGGGCAGAGACGGTGCTACTTGCCCCATTTCTATTCTATTTGCCCTATCCGGAAACTGACTCCTTTCCCTTTTCCAATTAATTTCAATGGATTCTCTCCCCAGAAATCCCTTTTTCTACCCAACTTTCACAAAAGAATTGCAGCAGAAAGTATACAAATTGAAATGGAAATGGAAATGGAAAAGAGGCAACAAATAATGGCGGATAATTTTAAATGTTTTCCAGTACCGTCTAGCGGCTCGTCGCCACTCCTGAACGTAGCTCCAGTCGCACGAGTCCGTCTCCGCATCGTGGCCAGGGTCGTCGTCGTCGTCTCCATCATCATCATCATCATCATCATCATCATCATCAGTGGCAGTGACAGCAGTGGGAGCATCAGATTTCGTTGGACCGACCACGGCCAAAGTTGGCTTTGCCACCGTTTCCACCAGCGCACTGGCTCGCCGGTAATTGCCTTCAATTCTGATATTAATTACGCCATTCTGCACGCTCTCAATGTAGGGCGGCAGTTCATCATCCGCCCGTTCCACCCGCTCCACCTTGTGCTCCCCCTCCTCCGCTTTGTCGTTGGACTTCAGTTTCTGGGACATCTCTTGGAGCAGCTGCGAGTGCAGTTCTTTGGGCGATAACAATGGAGAGGCTGCTGCTGCTGCTGCTGCTGCTGGCTGCGGCTGCAGCTGGAGACTGCGGTGGTGGCTGGGTCTGGGTCTGGGCTTGCGGTTGCAGTTGCGCTGGATTACGATTGATGGAGTCCCCAAAGTAGATGACCACCTTGTGATTGGCCTGTCGCGTCCTGCTCGTGTCCTCCACCCAGTCGGGCAGCTCCTCGATGGGCGTGGGCGAGGGTGTCTGTCCGGGGCGTGGCACTGGCAGCTTCTGCTGCTGCTGACACATTTCGCTGTTCCGCAGCGACTGTGGCTGGAAGTTCTTGAGGGAAATGCCGCGCCGTCGCAGGATGAAGTTCTCGTTCAGCATCCTGCCCAGTAGGGACGTGGAGTTCGTTGGCGCTGCTGGCAGGGGGGGAGTGGGTGCCTTCTTGGATCCTATCTTGTAGTTGCGCAGCTCGCGGCAGAGGCTGCAGGAGCAATCTTTGGTGCAATACATGATTGGGTGCTGTGGTGGATGTCAGATTTGGTTTGGTTTCATTTCACTTCGACACGGACACGCGGACACACACAGACACAGACACAGACACAGAAACACACTTCTTCTTTGTCGTCTTCCAATTCACAATTTTCCTTCTTTTTCTTTTTCTTTTTCTATTCCCTGTTTCCTTTTCTATGTTACTCGCACAAATAATAACAACAATTATGCAAATTATAAATTATCATTGCCTCTCGTGCTCGTGCTCGGCGAGCCGCGACCGAAACTCCAGACTCGAAATTCGAAGCTCCCAAAGTCGAATGGTCGAAAGTCGCCAAATTTCGAACCCGCATTACCGTTCGCTCGCGCACATCAAGCTCGACTGAAAAACAAGCTCACCTGAGCCACGGCTCACGGCTCACGGCGGTGGTTCAAAGTCAGACCAGCAGCACGGCTGCCACAGCACAGCTGCTGGCGCTCTCGCCTCTGCTCCGCTCCACGCCGCTCCACGCCGCTCTGCCCCGTCATTGTCTACGCGCAGCGATATCTGTTTTTCCTCATTTTCACAGCGCGTTTTGGGACTCTGGGCCCCAGAGGCAGACCCGAGCCACCTTGCGCATAGGGTCTTTGGCATGGCTTGGCTTGGCTTGGGTAATTTTTCCATTTGCTTCTCAGCTGTAAGCCCAAAACAATGGATCAGCCATACTCGTACTGTCGTACCGTCCTACCGTCCTACCGTCCCACCATAGGCAGCGCGTTTGAGGGCTCACTCTGCGGCAGTAGTGCCTGCAAGATACGTACGAACTGCAACACTGCGAGGAGTATCTGTGATTTTTCATTTTTCTGCTGCTGTTGGGGGTAAAGTGATTTTCAAAAAGTCACTGCGACTGCTGGCAGTGATGCTCAAATAATTGTCTATGGGCAAAAGGAATATGATCGGCTCTACCTAAATTATAATTCACCCTCTCTTTCCGTATTTAGTAGTTTGTAAGCAAGTATTACGAGTTCATATATAAATTTATATCCAAAAGCGTAGCAGTGATAAAATAAAAGACTTCAAAGATGTTGAAGAATCTGTTGAATCCAGGCAAGATTCCGCACTACTCGTATTTCGGTGGGTATTTTTATTTTGAATATTTATCTGGAGTGGAGGCCACTTTTTCGAATCAAGGCAGGCGCAGAAACGTTGCAGCCATCAACGGGCTTATCCCGCTCCAATAACGTGACTGGACAAAGTCACTCTCATCTCTGATAGGTGCTCTGGCTCTGAATTTAATTATGTATAACTGTTGGCGGGGCCAAGGGAGCTCAGCCAGCCACATCACCTGACACCGCACCGCATCGCACTCGAAGGTTATACAATCTTGACACTTATCAGATAGTTTTGCCAGCTTCCTTCCTTGCTTCGGCGCCCAGGCAGTCTGGCAGTGGCGGTGCCAGCCCAGTCTCCCAGTCTCCCAGTACCAGGCCCCAAGATGGTTAGATTCTAAGCAAAGCAAAGCAAAGCAAAGCTCGCCCTGACGTGTGTGTTCTGAGCATGGGCAGACGTGCGTAGGCTTCGAGATACATCTACAAGATACGTTTCATGTGTGGAGTAAATAAATTGCCGAGCGTAACCTGCCTCTAATGATTTATACTGGCCTACATGTATGCGCTGACATAACGGCTTCTTGAGGTTGGCCTTTTGTTTTTCCTACCATACAGACCAGACAGCAACATATCCACATATTTTTTTTCGGCAGCAGCTGCAGAAGCTTCTCTTTTGTGGACGAAGAATGAAGTGAATAAATGGGAGCGGCCACAGCCACAGCCACAGCCACAAAGCGGAGCACAATTGCAATTAGAAAGCCACGACCATTTGGTCCAAATACCCGAATAACCCCAAACAAAAACAAAAACAAAAACAAAAAGCAACACACAAAAAAGCCGCCCACGTAATACGGAAAACTCTACGTTCCTCTATCCATCTCTCTACCTGTCCGATTATACAATAACTTTCTTCACTAGCCGCCGGCTGTTCCTAGGCTTCAAGTGCTCCACTGAGGGGATTATTAAAAAAATTATGCTCTAAGCAATTTTCGCATTAAAAAGTTTAATTTACGGAAAAGTAATGACAGGCCATAAATATGCTCACACCCATTAGGCAGAGCTCCACACACTCACACAAAAGACCTCCCAAAAATTAAAAAAACGAAACGAAAACCAGAAAAATATACGAGTACATATACCAAAGAGTTTAATGTAATATTCGCGTGTTTATAAAACAACTCGGCCGCAAAGGAGAAAAAATAAATCGAAATGGTTGGAAAACTGACCGAAAAGGCAGCAAGTGCAAGTTCCCCCGAAAGTAAAGAGAAGAAATATTGCTGGACTGGATTGGACTGGACCCTTGGAGCTGCAGTAATGGCCATGCGAGATATGGGTATGTGTGCCACCCAACTAATGGTTCGGGTTGGGGCAGCCTAATACGCTCATCAAGGTTTGGGAACTTTCGTTTTTCATGCCCTGACAGTATTAGACAGGAAATGGTTTTCGGTTTTTGGTGTTCAGTTTTCAGTTGTAGATTTGTAGATCATTAGAACCAGCTCTTCATGTGAGATCATTAATAATCTTTGGTTGGCAAAAATATCAGCAAATTATGGGGTGGAAATGGAAGTTAAACCTGTGGCAAGGTTAGCCCAAAATCTGTGCTGAATGTCGTTGCTCGAGGCGAACAGAATTTGTTGGCTAAGATGCGTGGTGACTTCACCGAATTTTCCTCATTTAGTTTCCCTTTGCCCCCAAGCCCCCAAGCCCCCATGCCCCACGCCCCATGCAAGACATTTCAACGTTTGATTGACATGGATTGCTTAAGCCCAGCTTTTTGTCAGCTGAGTCATGGTCTGAGTCTGGGAACAGTAGAAAACTGTTTTCGAAGCCTGTATATAGAAATCTAAATGGCATTTTGTTCCGAAATTGAAGATTGTCCGATGCAATCTCATGGATATGATTACCGGAATCAGAAACTGGACAAAAGATCGATCCAAGTGAAACAACTATAAATTGAACTGCTATGGGATTCTCTTCTATTTGTGCTGCTCGCTCAAGTGATTCTAGAGTGTGATCCTACGAGGACTCGTATAAGCAAGACATTGCTGCATGTTCGTCCCAAGTGCCCAGGGAAATCTCACATACATCACCTCTTCACCTGCATTTCCCTCAGGTGAGCCATGACCAGCCCGAACTGGTATCCCGACACCATCAGTGACAAGGCAATTGGCTGTAACTGTTATGAAACCCCAACATCTGACAAATTGCTACCTATTCCGAGTGCCGAGTGCCGAGTGCTTGGTGTCGCTATCATATCATCACATCTTGCTGATTAGAGTTTAATACGCGGCGTCCCCGACTACGACTGCGCCTCCGACTGTGAGTACAGACCATACAGACAGCCATCCAACAAGATTTCCGCATTCAACCACATCCCCAACATCAATTGGAGATGCGCCCAGCCCGGAGAAGATGAGGCTGTGGCTGAGGCAGAGCAGAGCAACCGACGTCGCTTCCGTTCAAAGACGAGGACGGAGACAAAGACAAAAATGAAGACGGAGCAGGGGCTGCGGGCTGGGGGCTGCCACTGCTATCTCCAACGACTTAATTAGTCCGTCCGTCTATCCAGATCTATCAACAGTCTGTGCTCTGTCATTCCTTGCTCGGCAACAGCTGCTCTGAAATCTCCCACACTTTCGCGCCTCCGATTTCAGTTTTCCATTTTTTTTGGCTTTTGTTTTCTGGTTTTGGCTGCATTTCGTTTTGTGGTTTTGGTTTTGGCCAGCCGATTCTGTAAGTTAGCTACAGTTAGTATATTTGGACAAACACCAAAAAGATCTCACAGATCTGGCCTGGGCTAGCGTGGATTGTGCTTTAAGAGTGTATCAAAGTATCTGTATCTGTATCTGTGTATCCGTATCTGCATCTGTGGCTGTGTAGCTGTTTGTGTGAAAGAAAGTCGCGGCCTGAGCTCGGGCAAGGTAAAAAGGTAACAACATTTTCACTTGCCTCACGTCGCGGCGCGTCGTCGCATTATTTCTTGTACTCTCTTTAATGCTGCGTTCAAAATTACACCGAACTGAAGATGCTACACCGATAGAGATGGCTATACATGGGGCTCGGGTTTGTTGCCCTGAGAGAGATGGCTGGCAGAGGCATGGGCATGGGCATGGGCAGAGGGCCCTCCTCCTCCGTCTCCGCCTCCTCCTGCTGGCCATTGTCATTGACTTTGTTAGCCGCAAGTCGCTGTTGTTGCTGCAGCTGGAGCACGAGTGCGGGTATCTGCTACCTGTTCAACAATTCGTCTGGCAATTGTGGCGAATTTTTCGTACATTTTTGCTATTCCAGTTCGTTAGCTATTATTATTTGATTCCCTTTATTGTGGGCCCTCTGCTAATTATTCACATTTTGCCATTTTCACTTTCGTTTGTGTGAAATATTTCCAACTGTCATTTGTTTGTTGTTACTCGCATTTCAAACTTTTAATTGCCAGCAACACACAAAAACGAAGCTACAATAAAGTTTCGCAAAATGCCAGTCATATTTCTGTTTCCCCTGTTTCCTGCGGGGCGAGGCGTGCTGAGATTTCAATCAGCAATTGTCTGCCGCTGCCACTGCCGATGCCACTGCCTGGCGATTTCCCAATCGAGCTTGAACTTTGCGAGGAAAAAGACCAAAACCTTAGCAGAAACCTTCAGCCCGAGCACTCGACTCGAGCTTCAATCTCTATTTGTATCTCAAGCTCTAGTTTCGTTTTAATTGAATTAGTCGTGTCTGACTGGGCCGGTCGGTCCGGGCCAGGCCAGGCCCGCATTTAATAATTATTCGTCTCTGCCTTCGCTGGGGTCGTAAAGCCAGTTTGTGCTTCTACGAGTATCTTCTTTTTGTGGCACACATCCGGAGTGATCTTCTTTTTTTCTGCCTGGGGGCTTCCTTCCCCCTTTCCCCTTCCCCCTCCCCAGTCACCACCGACTGTGCTGACACTAATATTTTCCAAATTAACCTTGACCGGCTTCACAATGCGAAAACGAATCGCAGACAGATCGTTCCCGTTTGGTCTCGAGACCAAGAAGATATCTGGCCAACAGACAAACAAACAAACAATACATTATGATTTCCGAAAATCGTCTAGCGTCCGCTATTCCTACCCAGGCTCCTACGTTAACTTCTTCATCTGGCCTGGCCTGGCCTGGTCTGGTCTTGTCTTTTCTTTTTTTGTGGTTTTCGTATTACGGCCCGAACAAAAGTTTATTGTCCGCTCAACTTGACCTGTCTGACTCTTGTGCCTCCCTTCACGCCTTTGTGCACAATTATGCATGCAAGTGTCCAAGTCCAAAAATAGTTGCCATTGTTGGTGGCGGTGCGGTTGGAAACCCTTTTGAAACCCGATAAGAAAGCAGACAGAGCTGAAGATATGTTTCCGATGCGCTTAGAACAGATCTTGCCACACATTTCTCATAGTGGTACCAGAGCACACGAGCCGAGCACCTAGCATATGCAACGAAATACTTCTATGTTCTTTTCTTTAATATTCTTTGCCTATTGTAGGTGATTGGATTGGGTTCTTTTCAGGGTCTAATGACGGCCGAATATATCAAAATATCAAAATTTATTGCTTGCCGCAGCACAAGCTTGGTATTTTTTTAGTTTTCAGGAGGTTCCGAACGGTTGCGGGCGCCCCCCACGGCCCACCCGCGGCGGCGCCGGGGGGTGGACCACGGTCCTTGGTGGACCGACGGTATTTTCGTAGTTTGGTCAACGGTGCGCCGGCGCGACCGATTTTAGCCCACGCTAAAGCGTCAAAACTAAATACAGCCAACTTTTCGCTCCGTGCTTGAAAATACCGCAACAAATGAATTTGAAAGCTTAATATCTTCCAGGTATTAAGCTGCAGATACAAAGTGTCTGGGTCGGATTTTAAGCTGCATTTGTCAGCTTTTCAGAACTGCAAAGTTCTATGAAACCAGATATAAGATACTTAAGATACTTACTAAGTTATGTGAAAAATAGAAACACAACCTCTTAAAAAACCATGAAAATAAATACCAAATTTAAAAAATTCTTAAAAAAAAATTACACCATAAAAATAAAAATAACTACAAAAATTTTTAAATCCCGAAATCTGTCAGAAAAAGTAATTTTGGTTAACAGCCTAAATAAAAGTTCAATTTTGTTGAGTAGTGTAATCAGATGGACGCATATACTTCTCTCGCTCTGACTGCTAGTCAGTTAGCAGAGTCTAATGTCATCACACCATAAGAGCTAGTGCTTGCTACATGTAAGATACACTAGTGGGCGCCAGTGTGGAGGTGTAAAATAAGAAGCTATGTATGTAAAATGTAGAAATGAGTAGAGTTCATGTAAGCAGCAACAGATGGCGCTTTCTGAAATGTGTATTAAAGGATCGGACTAGAGTATTTAAGTCGTGTCGGGATAGTTAAGGGATAGTTTATGCAGAGAAAGTTAAAAGATTTGATATTGAGTTAGTATGATGAAGTACGGGATGGGGGAGAAGAAGGGAGAGCTAAAACTTACTGTTCTTGGATATACATAGAAGAGGAATATTTCCCAATAAACCAATACATAAGCTTAAAGAAGAGTGACAGAGGATACACACAAGAATAAGATATAATCGAGATCAAATCCACGAATTGAACGGTTACTGAGATAAGTTATGAAAGTAATATTTTATGTAGAAAGAAAGCCAGAACGAAGAGTTTCTTGATCAGGGCCCATAAATAGGAGCAAGCGGATTTTCTGTGGTATCTATATCTATATCTGTGATATCCATCACACTCAAATCTAGTCTGGTCTCATCCCCTCAATTCGTGTAACATCCAAAATTTCAAAGTTACGAGAATATAAATATATAGAATTGTCTTATCTACGATCCATATCGGAGAATCAATTTAATGTAAATATGCCTTTGTCTGACTCTCTCTCTCTCTCTCTCTAGTGAGAATCTCACTCTAAAAAACTTACTCCCCTCCTCTTTCTGCCGCCACACATTTAAATTAAACAATTTGTTTGCAATTTAAGCAAGAAACTCACCTTCGTGGCTTTGGCCGCAATATCTCATGATTGGCATCGGTTATGCAGAGCGGACTCAGAGCCCCAGCCAGATGGGCCACGCCCACACGGTCCGTATCCCAGTTGTGGCGGGTGGGCATATTGAGTGTGTGTGTGTGTGTGTGTGAATGGGTGTGTGCTTTCGTTATTCTTTCTCAGCCAAAGTCAGGGGTCAGAGTTCGGTATTCAGGGTTCAGAGTTCCAGCTGCTGCATTTTCCGGCTCTGAAAAAAGTTAAACAAACAAGGAAGAATTCGATTAAATAATTCACTGACAATGAATGGGAAAGGGAAGAGGGGAGGGGAGTGTCTCTAGGCAGCCGGCTAGACGCTGTCCAGAGACTCAACGCCACAATGGTCACTGCAGCCGCAGTGCAATTAGTCGCTGCCGACGTCGTCTCCACTTCCTCTGCCCATAATAATTAACGCTGCCTCCTCCTTGCTCCAGAGAAAGCTCCGCCAAGCGGGGACTGGCTGGGCCGCTGAGCCGCCGGGGAAGAGTCTCGGCCCATTGCGTGTTTTGCGTCATTGGCATGGCAAGCAAGTGATCGTCTGTTGATCATCTTGCTAGTCGCTAGTTACTCTATAAATGGTCACCGGTCCTAGTCTCAGTCTCAGTCCCAGTCTCCATCACCGTCTGAGTCGTAGTCGTAGTCGGAGTGGAGCGTCGTCTGATGGAACGTCGTCGTCGTCGTCGCCGTCTGGCTGCAGGTGTCGATCAAGAACTTTGGAGCCACATTGGCATGCAATCAATGCCGTTCGATTTCATTTCACTGGAAATTGTTTTTGCCGGCATAATGTCAGACATTTCTGCCATCCATAAACCATCGTAAAAAACCAACAACATTTTCTCTCTCCAGCAGCTGGTTCTCTTATCGTTCCCGGTATAAATGTCCCCCAGCCCGCGACGAACCTCCAATCAAGTCTGCCGTTTGGTTTGTGTTTAATTTTTCTATTGAAAGCTGAAAGCGATCTTATCGGAAGTGTCCGACAGAGGCGGGGCAGAGGAAGCCCGTCCGACTCTAGTGAGAGAGTGATGATGATGATGGTGATGATGATGGAGCTCAGGATGCCGATGCCATATAGCATCAAATGTATGTACTTTTGGTATTCGAACAGGTTCCAAATAAGCAAGAGCTATGATTCATATATGGCGTCCCTCGCAAACTAGACATCATGCTGCCCGAACTGATATGGATCAGAAATGGATTTTCAGATCAGAAGGAAAGTGTTAGAATTTCTTGAAAATGGTCGAAAGAAGAGAAATCGAACTGTAGATTTATTTTGTTGTTATTTGGTTGCTTCATCGCAGATCAACCACAAAATTAAGCAAAAAAAAAAACATCATCTCATATGATTCATGCTCGATCGTCCCACATACTCGTATTATATGAAGAGCCCTCCCCCATATCTGCGCATGACAAATGGGCTTTGCTGTTCGGCTAAAGCACTCCAGTCGATCGATTTGACCTTGTTATACGAGCACAAATATAAATAAATATTTTTGAATACTTCACGCTCTGTGGGTCATATGCATTAATCCGATCTGCTGATCCCAGTGCCCCCCTCAATCAGTGTTGGCCCTACGACCCCTTATCAGTCTGCGAGGGAAAGAGGTCATCTCCGCAGCTCCTCTCGCTGGCCGATAGGAGATTTCTTTTTAACCGTTTTGGGTTTTGTTCGTTTTATTTAATGTCTTCGTTTCGGGCGGCGCATTAATTAGCTGCGCTCTGTCCTGACACTCAATAATCGACAATCGACAATCGACAAAGAACGTGGATTGACACCCATATAAATGGCAGCTAAACCAAAACTGCTGCTCCATTCTTATGCTCGGAGACCAACCCGCTGCTGGCTGGCAGATTTATGGCTCTGTCTCTGAACCTGCCTGGGCGAGAAAGCACTCTACTATGATCTCGGGCAACGTGTTACTCTGGCCAGCAAACCGATATCAAATAACCCACTTTATGGCTCTCTAACAAACTGTCAAAGTCTGCCTGCTAATGTTCTGTTACTCATTTCGATGGAACTACCATTTCCGATATGAAGAGGGAGATATGAGTTCCAGCAAATTAAGAAACAAACGATTCTTTTCATTTTAAATAGCTTTCCTTCTCCCTATACTATAAACATAAACATGCGTATTCGAATAACGTAAGAATATATTCTTTAATGAACTTGAGAAGTACCCAAGTATCTGGTCACATTAGCAGTCTAGTCTAGAACTATCTTTGTCAAGAGAAAACAATTTTAAGATCTCCTATAAAACGTGAGGAACATTCCCTAGAATAGCAACAAATCTGTGGAATTTGTAGCTTGATCGTATTGCCAACCAAGTCCCAGGCATGTCGGCATATTTTCTGGTGCCTTATGGGTAATTTTCATCTTCTCTTTGGCAGCTACCGCATTCCAAAGAGAAAGGCCAAGCCGCCAGTCGAGGTTCCACGCAGAGATACGCATACGCGAACGAAGGTTCGCTGCGCTGCAGAGGCAGCAAAAGAAATTCCATAATTAATATGCCGCACATGCGACTAACTGTTTGAAGTCCGTTCCAGACCCATTAATATGCAACAATGTGCAGCTGGGAATCCAAGTCCGTGTGGGAGTGTGATGTGACTCTGATTCTGGGTCCGATTCTGAGGCTGGTCAGGTGGCGTTGGTGGATAGTGTTCGATTGAGGCCTGACACTAATAGATGCGGCCTTCTACGCCCTTAACGCATAATTTGCATAATAAAACTGAATAGCGTTGGGCAGGGGACCCATCGTGTCGCGACGCATCGCTTCCCTACATTCATTAATCATACAAAAGATTTACGCTTACAATTCCCAATAATTCCAAGTTTTTTCTCCCCATCTCCCCATCTTCTGGTTGTGCCGCGAGCAGCGAGCCCCGACTGCTTGTCTTTGGCTGGTGGTTCGATTTGGTTTGGTTTCGGCTTGCCTCGGTTTCCACTTATTACAAAGATTAATTGCACAGCTTATGCTAATCCAATGTCATTAGCCATTTATAGATAGTTGCGGTGGCAACTGGCAAGACACAAAAACCAAGAAAACAAGTCATTCCAGAGGAGAAAAACGGTTTCGGTTGATTTTGCTATCAAAACAATTCCATCGATGAATTTATCACTAATTCGGTTGGCATTCTTTGTTGGGCCACGAGTATGTGGCAAATAAAAAGTATCTGATTTCTGTGGCATTGTCTCCCTGCTTCCCACTCTCTCTGGCTCTCTCTCCCGCTCTCTCACCTTGGGGGCACCTCTCTTCTGGGTCGCGGACACAAGCGCGTGTTCCAATGTCCCAAATGATAGCCGATCCCCGGATGATTCGCTCCTCTCCACGAGAAGCCCAGTGAGGCAGCAAAAATTGAAACGTTTTGTAACTGATACTTTGGAATCTTCTCTTCTCTTGGCTTCGTCGTATTGTACTATTTGATTATTCGATTTGTGATCCCCCAAAATTATTGAGTTGAAAGCAAACACTGAACAAATTTCAAGTGGCCTGATGGCCTTTGGCTTCAGTCGCTTGGGGAATGTGTGACTGTGTAGGAATTGCAGTCTTAGAGGAGAATACACCTACAGGCTTAACATTCCTAAATGATTTATTTAATCATTTACATCCATAGAACTATCCAATTAGTCCCCGAAATTCCCGAACCGCTCTAATTGCATGCATCAGCTGTGATGCAGTCATCGCATGATTGGCCCGAACCAGTTGATATTAATTTGATTTCAGAAATGCTTTCAGCAAATACTCGTACCCAAGGCCAATCCAGATACAGACAGAGGCAGAGGCCTTGTTGTGGCAACTGAAGAATCTGTGGAGTGCCGTCATTATCTTTCCTTCTTCTGCTGCTGCTGCTGCTGCTGTCTGTTGTTTTGATCTGTCCGTTCTGGATTTGATTGCATGTGTGTATAAATTATATATGTAGTTATATAGGAAAGAAAAATTTTGATTTATGTCAAAAGCGAGACACGAACCACTTTTTGGGGGCTGTGGCTGCCGTCTGCTTCTTATTTACCTTAATAAATTCAAAAAAATTAAATTTTCTCTTAATTGCGAGCCCGAGACGAGGTCGAAGTTGGGCCCACGACCAAGAAAAGCCAGAACTCGATCGGTCCAGGAGAAAGTGTTTCTCTGGCTGCTCTGCTGCAGTGTCTGCTCGAAATTGGGTCACTTGGCTGGGGGTTTGACTGGGGATCGGCTCGTCATGAGCCGGACCGGGACCCAGCCAGCCACAAGCTGGTTATCTGGTTAGAGTCGCCGTCGCCGTCTCCGTCGTCTGCTCTCTCGCTCATTGACATTTAAATTATTTGCTCGAGCCGAAAAATGCCACCGAACCCGAACCAACATGTTCTGTTTCTGTTTATGTTGCTGTTGCTGTTGCTTTTGTCACGTGATGTCAGCAAGGGGCAAATGCCAATGAGGAAAGGAAAAAATAATGAAAACAATTTTTCATCTCAACTGACAGTGAAATAAAATACGAGTGTGCCCAGCGTGGAGGGGCTTATGCAATCAGAGGACCAGCAGCTCTGGGTCTTAATGGACAATTGGCTTAACGAGAGACAAAGGGCCACTCCCTGTCCGCTCTCTTTCGCCGGGTGACAGCGACAGCGACAGCCAAAAGTGGGCTAAAGAGTCTTGGCCAGAGTCAGAGTCAGATCCACACACAAAAGGTCGGATTGAGCGCCCATCAAACGACAGCAGCAGCTGTAACTGGCTGGGGATTAAAACAAAGCTCCACCTTGGACAGAGAGCTCTATCAATCGCTGCATTTCCATCTGACTCTGACATGTTTCCATCTCTACAAGTATTTCCCCCATTCTCCGCCTCTCTGAACCCTTTCCCTTTGGCAGCCGCCCCAGCCGCCCCAGCCGCCCATAAAATGGCCGCATAATGTATCAATAATTTCAGCCATAGAATCTGGCCCGAACCTGGTCGATTGCTTTTCGTTCGCTTGTCAGGTGTGTCGGCACGAGCGGCTTTGTGTGTCCCCACCGCACTCCGCACTCCGCTGTCCACTGTCCGCTTACCCTTACCCTAAACCCCTGGCCAACCAGCAGTTTCTAACAATTCCAAGAGGCGGGGCGGCAGGCAGCTGTGCCTGATCGTGGGTTCAGGTCTTTGTTGGAGTTTATTCGCTGATTTATACCATAAAATATGTACACCCTATTCCAGTAGTGGGGTATGCTGGAATTAACGGGGAATGTTGAAATTTTCAAAATTACAAAATTACTTTATTTATCTTTACACATGAAAATCGAACGGAAGAACAAAACTTTTTCCATTAAAGTAAATTCAAATGATTTCAAAATTTCATATATATTAATTTCTTCCCAACTTAGATGACGTACATACATATTGTAGCTCTATATGGAGATTTGCATTAGTTCTCCTTCACTCTGTCCCTGTCCCTGTCCCTGTCCATCTTTGCCGCTCTGCTTGTCTCTTGTGATTCCTATTCAGATCGTAAACAAAAACCGCAAAGGTGTGAAACGTCAAAGCTAAAGTCAATAAAAATAGTTTACCCATGGGTGAATACTATGCATATACATGTGTATGTGTTTGACTATTTACGAGCTTGTTTGTTGTCCACTCTAAACCAGAACAAGGAAAAACAAGCAAAGTGTGTCTGTCTATATACGATACACAGCAGATACATGCATCGTATTTCTGGCTTATTGCCAAATGTTTTGTCAGAGTTCTCAACAAATAAACGGAGTTCCGTTCCCAACGAGCCCCAAACTGAGATCCAAATTGAAATTGGGTTGCGACATAGAAATACCAGCAGGAAAAAAAAAGAGCAAAAAAGAGCTTCCCATGCGGGTCTTTAGCATAATTTCTGATCTTGGGGACCGTTTTAAAGGGGCCGCATTTGCATAGGTCTTTCCAATAGCCGTGCCGATCTGTGCATGTTCTTTATTAGAAAATTTATTCCATCGTTTTATGAACAGTTTAGCCAAAGAATCAAATCATTAGGGCGTTACGGTTTCTGGGTGTGTTTGGCTACTTGTCTCGACATCCTCAGAAGCTCAGAAAAAATATATAAATCTATGATATTATTATGAGATAGGGATGCCAGTTTAATAAATAATAGCTTAGTTCAAGAGCTGGCTCAAGTAATGAGAAACTGGGATATATTGGATATTTCGATCCAACTCCCATTCAAATACCTAGAATAGAGAATCCAAGATTAATCAGATCCGTTCGAATGTAAATGCATACACCATACCAAACTGCTTCTGGTTCATAAGCTTCGTCATAATTATTCCCCCAAAAAGTATTAAACTCTAATGTGTTACTCACTTTTGTAGGTATCCTATTACTATGATTCGAGCGGATAGTCCAGATCTCAGATTGCAGGCAAAGTCGGTGATAACCCAAGTGAGGGGAGCTGGAGCTCAGTGGTAACTCTGGGTCACTCCACTCCTTGTCGGACCATCTCAGTGATTAGTCAGTTAATTTAAATGCCAGCCTCCACTTGGCTCCTGGATCACTTGGCACTGTGTACAAAATTGCCTGCGTGCAATTAATTAAACAAATCGCTTTACTTTCACCTACTGCTAGCTGAGGCTGAGTGGCGACCAGCAGAATCAACATTTGCATTGCATTTTTGCATATTTACACAGACAGATTTAAATGCACATTTACAGAGATACACCAATACACCAACACACCACACATACACACACGCTGCGAGAGCGTTTTCTATGGCAGTTGCACAAGCTGTATTTATTTTTCTGGTATTCTATTATATTTTGTCAGGTTTTCGGTTAACAGGAAAATTGACTATATGGATGTATGGGAAAGGCTGTATGTACCGAAAACAGCTTTTCGCGCATATTACACGCCTGCTCTCAAACACAAACACAGATACACACGGGCAGAGGCACAGGCACAGGCACAGAGGCAGACGACGATAGATGGAGGGAACATATTGGCCGCGGGGCAGAGGATCGGAGCACTGGCAGCGCAGGAGAATCGTTCTGCACGACGAACAGTCAAAAACACAAATGAAACTTCTTTGGGGGAAAAGTATTTTTACAGACCAACCAACCAACCAAGATCTACCGATCTACCGACACCGACCGAGCGAAGGCACGCGCAATAGACGACGAAGAGGCAACAATGGTCTGATGGTCTGGTGGCCTGGCTCTGGCTCTGGCTCTCAGACTCAACAGGTCTTGAGCTCTCCGCTTTGAGTGAGTATTTTGTTGTTGGTTTTCTCGACGCGAAACCAGTTGATCTTGTTTTTTTTTCGTTTGTTGTTCGTTCAGAGTCGAACTCCAATTCTACGAGAGCTGCCTTCGTACGAGGCGGAGGCTGTTGTTACATGACTGGGACTCCTTCGGCCAGTTCGTGTCCTAAGTCTTTTGTTTTGTTTGCGTTTGGGCTTGGGTTTGCGCTCGCATCGCCTTGCTCGCCTTGCATCGCTTGCAAATGCATGGGCATTACGAGTATTATCTATGAGTTATTTACGCTTAGCATTTTTCGCCTCCTGTCTGCCGTTCTGTTGTGTGCCTTCCTTTTGTCCAGCTTTGCTCTCGTTATGTTATGGCCAAACCGAGCTCGTGGGCTTGGCTTGGCACACGCTCGAAACTGAATCGAAGCTGCAGTGCTCGGGCCATAGGAATTTTCATTGCGTCGACAGGTTTGGTCGTCCTCTCTCTGCTTGCCTGGCCGCCTCGCTGCCTCGCTGCCTCTCTCCCTGTCTCCTGTCTCTCTGTGCTGTGCCCCCCGCTCCGCGGTAGAGAGGTGCAATTTGCACTGCAAAACGCTGGCTACTGTGTTCCGTTCCCCCAAATACCTTTGTACGTTTACCCGTAGCCAGGCAGCGTAGGAGTAGCTAATGGTTCAATGAACCAGAACAGGACAAATAACTAAGGAGATCGGGAAGAACATTCGGTCGGTAACCGTCACAGAAGTTGCTATTGAAATGACCTTGCCAGGTGAGTGCGTGTGCTGGTGGGGCCTGAGAGATTTCTTACCCTCACAAACGTCACAATTTATTTTGGAATTTATGGCCACAGTTGGGCCCTAAGTTTAGTTTAGTGTGCCATTGTTCTGGCTGTCGGTTCTCCTCACATCTCTCATGACAATAAGCACAGCCGCAACCACAGCCAAGTCAAGACAGCGGCGGCACTTTGTCCGCGTGTGCGTGTGTGTGTGTGCGAGAGTGCGTATGTGCTTTCAGCCAAGAACGCCGCCAAATGGTAAACCAGTCGAGTCCTGTCCTGCCAATGCCCCAACGATCCGCGAGCCACTTGACCAGGCGAACCAACCAACTGGTTAGGACTTGCTGCAAAGCATGCGCCAAGGAATTTCGCCAACGATTTTCGGAATGTCTACAATGCACAACGCAAGTGTGCAGGGAAAAATATCCACAAAAAATCGTACTCGCACAAGAATGAATCCAACAACTTCGGCCGACTGGTCGACAAAGGGGGTTGGGGAGGGTGATGGCCAAATTTTGACACAAACTTCATCTGCTGGCGTTATCTTTCTGCAGCTCCGAGAATCATTGAGCTGCACAAATGCAAGTACACTTGATCAGAAATCAGTAGATATTTGTATATCCCCTAACACCGCTTCCTGCTCATTATTTATTATCTACCACATGGCTGACAACAAATACAGATAGTTATAATCCCAATTATTACAACATTCACAGCGCTCGGAAAAGCAACAGGGCCAGCATTTCCTTCACTAACTGTTTATTTTTCTGGGGACCATTTAAGCGGTACTTGAGTCGATAATTTGATCTTACCAAAGACCAAAGGGAGGAACCTTTTACGATGCTATCTGAACGAATGGGACAGGGGCAAGGACGTGACCGGGACTGCGAGTGTGACTGCGACGGTGACGTTTGTTTTGACAGGCTGGTTCGTCCCTTGCTGTGTTCTTTATTGTATGGGGTCGCTGCATGGGGCATAAATCAACAGGAGACGCAAACCGAAGCCGCAACCTCAGGTAGCAACTCTCAACGACCAAGAGGCGACATCGAATTCCAAACGGAAAGCTGCGTCTCCCTCTAAACTCAATTAGTGCAGAGTCTTTCGTTCTTTGTGTGTGAGCGTTCTGCATTCCTTGCATGCCACACTGGCATTTGATTGATAATTTCGTTACGCCCCAAACATGGTCCACAAAAAAACAAAAAAAAAAGAGGAGTAGGAACGTGTGAGTCGCTTCTTTGGACGCGACTCTACTTTTATACCCATACTCAGTCAGTAAATAAATTTGTGAGCTTATCATTAATGTATAATTTTCAACAATTTTACATTTTGTTTGTTACATCTGTTATCTAAGTCTACATTTTAGATGTGTTATCGACATTGTAGATGTAGATAACATATGCAGATGAACAGATGCACAGGGCAGAGTGTGTGCGAGCGAGAAAGAGAATGGGTAGCGTCAGCAACGCTGGAGTAGGTGGGGGAAGCAACTGAAAATCAATTTTTTTACTCAGATTCGGCAAACTGGTAGATATGGTCATTCTCTATAATACTGCGTTTTTTGTTTTCTCGTATCTTTCTATCTTGTGGATGCCACAGATTTTCGTTCTTTGTGAAGGCGGAAGGGGGCGTGGCAAAATTGTAAAACGCGCTTGATTCAGTGAGTCTGGAAACAAAATTTGATGTCTCCAGCTCATATAGCCTGTGAGATCTAGGCGACAAACAAGACGGACGCACGGACGAACAGACAAATATGGCTCAATCGACGTTTCCTTCTCTGCTTTACACACATCCACTTTTACCACAAGCCCAATATACCCCTTAACTCTTCGAGTACGGGTATAATAAAAACAAAAAGGGAATACAACAGAATATGGAAAACAGAAAACGAAAAATATTCATTTTGATAAGTGTGGTTGCCGTTCCCAGAGATTTATGACGTGTGGTGTGCATGCTGCCTGCTCGATTGTTACAAGACATGACCCTATGAGACATGGCTATTTGTCGTTGATTCGGTGCGACAGCAAGCCGCATCCCCCTGGCCATGATGACTAAATGCCTGCATCTGATCGGGAAGAGATTAGGCATGACAATTTTCATGCCACATTTCAGAATGTGTTCAACATTTTTGGGTTGGCCTGAAACGGGAACCTTAACGGGCAAGGCAGCTTCCAAATTCCAAAAGCATGTCAGAAGTACCCAAATCACTATACATAGTAAACAGCATTGAATAGGTGAGAAACCATTACTTGGTTTAAGATTTAAATATATTTGTATGTATTTGATATTGCAATAAGTGTTTGATATTAAAATTCGTTATTGAACTATGTTTAATCATAAGAGGGCAATTGGCGTACGAGTAAATATTTTATTGGCTACTACATTGGAAATATATGCACTCATAATTATTATACTGCATTGAGGCAAAAACTTGGCATTTTGTTTTGATTTGATTTTTTAAATTGAATTTAAAATTCTTCTTCTAGTATTAAGTAATGAATAAATTAACCCTTTGATCGGCTAACTCCGAGCTACTTATAACTTCGGCAAGATCGAATACTAATCTAAAATTTTTTGTAGATAATTCCTATTTATTTTTGGTTAATTATGAATAAACTTTTTCTTCGTTTCGTACGAGTATACTCGTAGCTATGCATGTGTATATCGGGTAAATCTTGGGTATCACTGAACGAATGCATCAAGCAGCGCCTCCAGCTCGAATGGTTTGTATGTGTGACATGTGACACCGGCAATGTGGGGACTCCCTCATCCCTTTTAGACTTCAAGTTTCAGCTTGCCGTATTTCTGAAACTTGCTGAGGAACTCATCTCATTTCTTCACACCGATGTACGAGCTGCTCTTGCCGGTCTTGCGCAGCTGTTCCAACAGTTCATCGGACGATAGGTTCGACGTGACGGTAACCGTTCGCTCCTCCAAGTTAATGTTCACTTTCTCGACCTTATCTGTGAGAATGGCGAAAAAGACTTTAGTTGGTAGCCGCAACACGAACTGTCTGATAAGGGGCATTAACATTAATTAGCCTAATACCCGTAACTAGGCCATTTCATTCCTGCATTACGTACCACCCAATTTGCCCAAAACGCGCTCCACGGCACTGGCACACCCGCCGCAGGTCATTTCCACCTTGAATTCGTGCACCTGATAGAAGGAGTAGGTGGGGCGGGGGGTTAAAATTAAAATGCACAATGGGAAAGTATCTGATGGATACGTACGGTCATTCTGCTGCTGCTGCTGCTGTGACGACTGTCTTCCGTCGTCCTATTGTAGACTTGTGGTAGATTAAACAGCTTGGCGGATGGAATCGATCGCTTCTTGACGTGGCAAACACTTATTTCTGCACTTTACAAACAATCTGAATCTTTTTTTTCTGAATCTATCTAGGTTTTTATTAGTGGATTTATCGGTATTAGTATATTTTCAGCCAGTTCGTGGTATACTGCAGTATTTAAGTGTATTTCGTACATGGTAAATTTCGCTATATTTCTGACGGTCAGGCAGAGTTGATTTTTTAGTGCTATCGATACATGTTATTTATTCTATCGGATCGGTGAGTCCTAACGATAATGTGAAGGATAACTAGATTATTTATTAACCTACAATCTTGTGAGAGCAGTCGTTAGTGCTGTTCTTATTTCACAATAATCTTTTCTCGGCGCTGTTTCACTTATCTGTCTAAGTACAGCCGGTCCTCGTTTAACACGGGAGTTACGTTCCTAGAAAACCTCGTGTTAAGCAAAAGCGTGTTAAGCGATGTAGGGATTCAGTACAAAATAAAATCTGTAGTCCAAAAACTGTTTTATTATTCAATTTTGGTTTTAATTAATCAAAATGTTTTATTGTGGTGGATCTTCTGGTTTATCGTAAAAAATCAGTAATTTTAGATTGTTTAGTGGCTTTTAAAGCTTCTTTGTAAAACTCACTTTAAAGTAAAAGTAAAAGTCGTCTTTCGATGAGCGGATCTGAATTTATAAAGCACTAAAACTATTCGGTAAAACCATTATATCAGAAGTCCGTTTTGTTTGCTTTGACCCCATTTCGGACGTTGCAAACGATCCAAACAGTAAGGAAAAAAAACCATAATTCCTTAACGATTTTTAAGGACACAAATCTATTAGAAATTTGTGTTGAGCTACTGAGCTTCTTCAGTAGCGTTGTTTTGCGAGATTATTTAAGAGATTCTTCAAAAAATAGTTCTGCCATAGAATAAAAACCATAATTCTTTAAAAAAATGTAAAGCCCAAATCTATCAGAAATAGTCGGTTTGGTTCCTTAAGGAAAGAAAAGTTCGATTTTGTCGAATAGAGTTATCAGCTATTAAAATCAATATATGTATAAATGAAAAATTAAATTAAATAATATAATATAAACCATCGATCATATCCTTTATTATTGAGTGAAAATTTAAGATTTTGTTTTGTTATCAAGAAGGAGCGCAGCACCATCCCTAAATTCGCTTGGGGCAGGCACCGAATCTGTAGACCACCTGATGGTCATACAACTGTCCAGGATTGAGGATGATTGACGGGAAATCATCGTGATTCATGGCATCGGGATACTTTTGGGTCTCCAGGCAGAAGGAGCCATGCCGCACATAGTGAGCTCCGCCCTTGCCAATGTTGGGCACCCCGCCGCGGTCCTCGTCGGGCAGATTGTTGGCGGTGTAGAACTGCAGCCCCGGCTGGTTGGTGTGCACCTCCATGTAGCGACCGCTGCAGGGATGGACAATACGGGCCACTAGCTGGACACGATTGGGCGCCACGTCGACACAATAGTTATTATCGAAGCCGCTGATGGGACAATTGGAGAGCTGGACAATACGCTTGCCGAGGTTGACAAGGCTGGAGAAGTCGTACGGAGTGTTGCGGACACGCATCAGCTTCCCAGTGGGGATCTGCTCGATATCCGTGTCCACAATCTTCTGGGCCTTGATCATCAGCATGTGCTGCAAGAGGGTGTCCTTGCCGGTTCCATGGCCGGCTAAGTTGAAGTACGCATGGTTAGTGATGTTGACGCAGGTGGTGGCCTTGGCCCTCGCCTCGATCCTCATGCCAAAGCAGCCCGTTTCGTTCAGCGAAAAGTTGATGTTGACAGTCACCTCTCCGGGGTACCCTTCGTGGCCGTCCGGCGAGACGTGCTGAAAGGTTACGCCATCCTTGTGTATGCCCACCACGTCCCAGATAACGCTGTCGAAGCCGACAAAGCCGCCGTGCAGCTGGTACCGGTCCCTGAAGTTGCGGCTCACACTCACTTCCTTGCCGCACAGCTTGAAGCGGCCCCGGGCCACTCGATTGGCCACCCTTCCAATGGTGGCTCCGAAGTAGCTCGGCTGGTTGCGGTAGTAGCCGGCCACGTCATCGTAGCCCAGACAGACATCCTCTAGCTTCCCGTCAAAGTCCGGCACCATGATCCTCTGGATGATGGCCCCCAGGGTGAGAATGGACACGCACATGCCTCGGTCAGTGCTCAGTGTGAAGCGGCGCACCTGATCCGTCTTCTGGCTGATGGGGTTCACGGCGATGCCAAACATATCCTCGATTACGCGCACCATCGTGCCAGCTGCGTAGATTCAACAAAACTCGAAAACTTTTACCAAAATGAGGGGAAACAAAAATTTGGATTATCCTAGGGTGAGAAACTGAGAATTTGGAAAGCAATGCAAATACTGAAAGATGCCAGAAAGGACAAGGCTAACTTAGTGATATTTTTTAGAAGAGCCTTTTTGTTAGTCTTCGAGCAGCCATCAACCGTCAACATTACATGGCAGCTCCTGGCAGGCTCTTCATTGAGATAACTCTAAAACTGAGGGACTATAGTAGTCCCTTTTTAAATAAATAAGTCCAATAAACAATGTTGTGAATTTTTTATGTTTCATGTTACCAGTTTAATTTTAATTTGATTTAATCCGATAAATATCGATAGTTGAAATCCATTTCTAGATTTTAGTATTTAAGAACAAAAAAGTTAAGCTGGCAGCGACGATAAGCGCGGGTATCAAGTCATGGTGGTTTTTTCCGATATAGAAGAGGGGAATGCGTCTTCAGCGTACACATACTTCCATATAAATGTAGTTGTGTCTGAATAAATGCAATTTTAAAACATAAAACCACTTAAATAATTAAGACAGGCATAAATTATTTGGGCTAATAGATTTGAATTGCGCGCGTGTGGTATGATGGTTGTATCAACCCTGTCGGTGAAAAAACCAAAAAAAATCTTATAAAATATCATTGTTAATATTTCAAATCAGCTTGGAATATCAAATTGACCATTAGTTAAGGAAATAGAGTATACAAATGCCCAAACTCATAGAAGAAACTTGCTTGACCAGCAACAATGAAGTCACATTTCGTACGCATTTACGTTTTATGCTTTGGTCGTTTTTGTTAGGACCTTATTATGTAAGCAATCCAATAAAAAAGAGTTTTGAAAACCAGCCAATCTTGAACAAAATTTATTGATGAATTGGATAAAATTATTTGTTTATGGCTGAGAGGGGTAACTAGCTAGTAATATTAAATCGAATATCGAAATCAAGGAATATCTTCTCCTGTCCGGCAGTATATTTACGGTATATTTTGATAATGACAAGGTATATTTCGGAGGGTCAGGTGGTATATTTTTTTACGATAAATCCGCGGTCACACTGGAATATTTAAATTTAAATATTATTTAAAACACGTGTATTTTTGTGTTTGACTACTAAGCGGCTGTGCAACGACTTAAGCATTGACTTATGTGAAGAGATGTCGATGCACATAAGTATGTGTGAAAATTGGTCGCTCGAGCCGGATAATCATATATTCTACAGGTGCGACACAACAAACAATGTACGCAATAGTTTTCTGTCTCCTCTGTGTTGTGTAGGAAAACAAATTATAAGCCGCCGCATTCCCAGATGGATGAGAATTAAACTTTATTAACATACGGGGAACAAGGAGCATATTGGGAGAGCTCACGACGCCTAGCTGGGACCTAGCATCTTTTCTGGGCGAACCCACTCGTCAAAGTCCTTTTCAGAGATGCCCGCATTGAGAGCCTCCTGCTTAAGTGTCGTCCCATTGTTGTGAGCTGTCTTGGCTATCAGGGCCGACTTGTCGTAGCCGATGTGCGGATTGAGGGCAGTGACCAGCATCAAGGACTCCTTCATTATCTTGGCTATCTTCTCCTTATTGGGCTTGATTCCCTGCACGCAGTTGACATTGAAGCTGGTGCAGCCATCGGCTAGAGTGGAAGAAATAACCCTAATGTACTCTAGCTCTGGCTGAGAGATTGGGGCAAAGACTTACTGAGCAGCTTTATGGATCGGAGCACATTGGAAGCAATCAGCGGCTTGAACACATTTAGCTCGAAGTGTCCGTTGGCACCGCCTGTGGTGACGGCAAAATGGTTGCCCATCACCTGGGCACAGATCATAGTCATGGCCTCGCACTGGGTGGGATTAACCTTGCCCGGCATGATCGAGCTGCCCGGCTCGTTTTCGGGTAGCATAAGCTCCCCCAGTCCACAGCGGGGGCCCGACCCCAAGAACCGAATGTCATTGGCGATTTTCATGAGACTGGTGGCCACAGTGTTGAGGGCGCCGTGCACCTCGACCATGGCATCTCGGGAGGCCAGGGCCTCGAAAAAGTTGGGAGCCACCACGAAGGGCAACGAGGTGAGCTTCGCGATCCGCTTGACGCAGTTTTCTGCGAATCCCTTGCGCGTGTTCAGCCCAGTGCCGACGGCAGTCCCGCCCAGGGCCAACTGATAGACGCGGGGCATCACCGCATCAATGCGCAACAGGCCGTTGGTCAGCTGTTGCGTGTAACCACTGAACTCCTGGCCCAGTGTAATGGGCACCGCGTCCTGGGTGTGCGTGCGGCCGATCTTGATGATGTCCTTCCAATCCATGGCCTTCGCGTTCAGGGAGTCTCGCAACTTGGTCAGCGCGGGCTTCAGCTCGGTGACCAAAGCCGTAGCCACGGCGATGTGTATGGCCGAAGGGAAGGTGTCGTTGGAGCTCTGCGACTTGTTAACGTGGTCGTTCGGATGCACCGGATCCTTGGAGCCCACAGTGCCGCCCAGGATTTCAATGGCTCGGTTGCCAATCACCTCGTTCGTATTCATATTCGTCTGAGTGCCAGAGCCCGTCTGCCAGATCGGCAGGGGAAAGTGTCCCTCGTCGTAGAGTTTACCCGAAATCACCTCATCCGCTGCGCTTGAGATAGCCGAGCTTATCTTCGAATCCAGTCCGTACTCCTGGTTGACCTCAGCAGCGGCCTTCTTCAGTATCCCCATGGCCTGGACAAGGGCCTTCTGCACACTCGGAGGGAGTTAATTTAGGAAGCGCTCACAGAGGATCAGCCGAATGCCCATCACTTACCGGCATGCGCTCCTCCGTCCCGCCAATACGGAAATTTAACAAGCAGCGCATGGTCTGAGCGCCGTAATAGCGATCCACAGGTACTTCCATGGCCCCAAGAGTGTCGCTCTCCTGGCGCGTCTTTTTACCCTCGTTGGCCATGACTCCTACCTTTCTCTTTCTCTATTCCAAATCAGTTAGTAAAATATATTATTATTAAATCCAGATGTGTATATCACACAATAACAGATGAACACATTAAGCAACGACTGCTAGCAGCGCAACTTTCGTTAAATATAAAATCTAATTTATATGGCAGTCATATGATTGAGTAACACAAATTTAAACGTTAGTTTGACGGCTTTCTGACTCAGTGCTCCCATGGAAGCTTTACACGCATTTGCCTTTGTTTGCTCAGCTGTAAGTTGGAGTTGGAAAATTCTTTGGTAAACATACATGACTCTCGTATTCATGCTGATCGTTTCTACCAGACCCATAGCCAGGAAATCAAGACTAAAACTCGTGCAGAGCCTAATGAAATATTCCAGCTTTATTTTTGAGTTCTACATTCTTTCAGGCGTTGTTGCAACAGCATTTCCAGGACTCCTCCACCTTGAACCAGTACATGACCTCATGCACGTACTTCTCGCCGGGCTCGAGGAATATCGAGGGGAACTCGGGATGATTCATGGAGTCGGGAAACTTTTCGGTTTCCACGCAAAACGAACCGTGTTTGACGTAGTGAGTGCAGTCCTTGCCAATCATGGGGACAGCGCCGCTCTTCTCGTCGGGCAGATTGTTGGCCGTGTAGAACTGCATCCCCGGTTGGTTGGTCCACACCTCCATTACCCGACAGCTGGGAGGGTGAACGAGCTTGGCCACCATATTCATGCTCGGCTGCACACTGCCGCCATTGACCACAAAACAGTTGTCGTAGCCATTGATCAGGCTCCCGTCGAACTGCATGAGACGATCGCCCAGCAGAACGGGCATCCGCAGGTCAAAGACCGTATCGTCGACGTTGACCAACTGACCAGTGGGTATCTGTTCATCGTCCGTCTCCACAATCTTGCTGGCAGCTATCTCCACGGTATGCTCGGCCAGACCCTTGGGCCCGGCGCCGTGCCCGGCCAGGTTGTAGTACGCATGATTGGAGATATTAACAGCGGTTTGTCTGTCGGTGGTGGCCTCGAATCGCACGCCAACGCGATTCTCGTTGTCCAGCCAGTAGGAGATGAGGCACGTCAGTGTGCCCGGATAGCCTTCGTGGCCATGCGCCGAGACATGACGAAAGACAATGCCGTCCTCCGACTTCTGCACCACCTCCCAAATGACGCTGTCGAAGCCCACAAGGCCGCCATGCAGCTGGTACTTGTTCTGGAAATTCTTGCTCAGCTGGACCTTTGACTCACCGACCACGTATTCGCCGTTTGCCACTCGGTTGGCGACCCGTCCCAGGGTTCCACCAATGTAGGCTGCTTTGGTGGACACGTAGCTGGCAATGTCATCGAATCCCAAGCATATGTCATCGACCTTCTCGTAGGCATCCGGCATTCTTACGCTCTGGATGATGGCGCCCAGTTGAATCACCGAAATGGACATCCGATTCGAGTTGCTCAGCGTGTAGCGGCGCACCATCTCGGGTGCCTTTGTGAAGGGATTCACGGCCAGGCCGAAGATCTCCTCCTCCAGTGTGATCGGCATTGTGTTGATGGTCTTCTCAGCTGGAATATTTCACAGGGTTATTTTCCCTTTCACAAACAGTTGAAATCTGCTGCCAGGTCGTCTCTGATCCGCTTCGACACACCTTTCCTACTGATTATGTCGCAGTTCTCGTTCTCGTCTCCAAAGTCGTAGAGGTCGCGAGCTCCTCCCGCAAAGTCAAATAGGGCACCAGACACACCAGACAACAACGTTCGCGGACGACGCCAACAAAACTGATTGCGATTGCAGTGCCAGCGCTTTTTATTGCTGCCCCTTGCCGATGCCTCAACGGAATAGATGGGTACTCGTATCTGTCGTTCACACACATGCACAGGCAATCTATTTCCTAGGGGGCGCGGCTAGGTTTGTCCGTTCCAAGTTTACAAAAGTACATACATACATACATACATATATGTAGGAGCTGCTGGCCCTTCCTCATTTTAATATATTCACAAATATATAAGGAATGTATAAGAAAATGATTATTAGTTCCTAGATTGGATTTTATACAGCCAATATCACTTAAAGATAGACCTTATCAACATTTTAGAAGATTTGTAGGAACCGTTTGAGCCCCACCATATGCCGTCCAAATTCGGATTCTTTCTCGGTTTCGATGTATAATATTTTCCATTCAAATTACTGAAAATAAATGTTGCTAATTATAATTATCAATAAATAAAAGCATCGATAGTGTCCAACTGCCCAATTGCTTACCACTGTTTTAGATTTGAACGCCACCAAGAGCCACATTTAAGCTGTTCAAAATCGAAATGTATATGGGGTCGAAGTGAATCTCCAGCGTTTCCTTCGTAGTAACCCAGGCTACCTAACAAGTAGCGTAGATCTTTGTCCTCGACAACGAAGTGATCATATCGAGCGTACCATATGTTATCATCGAAATCAACGAGTTGAATGTATAGTTCATGAGGAGTAATGTGTGTTAATATATTCAATTTATCCAAGCCAAGCCAAAATTCTCCAGCGCAGGAACCAAAGCCATTAACATAGGAGCCATTAGCAAAATTCACACTGCCATCGAAACGACGTTGAATGACTATCCATTCATTACCATCAGAAGTTATATCCTCAACTGGGGCGACAAAGGGTGCGTGGCCAGTGATTTCAATTAATTTAGAGGATACGAGTCTTGTAAGTTTGTACCCTCTAAACGAGGGTGTATCCTCGATTTCCTCATCCTTTTGTTTAAGGCCGCTTTCAGCTAGCTTGGCTTCAAGCTCTAACGCAGCCACTTTCTCATTCAGTTTTGAAATTGTAGACTCGCCTTCACCTATTCTGTTGGTTACTTTGGAGAGTTCCTGGTCCTTGTTTTCTATGTTAGTTGCATCTAGCTTGGCTTTGATTTCTAATTTAGCCACATTCTCATTAAGTTCTAAAATTGTAGACTCGTGTAAATCAATGATACGTTTATAATCAGAAATCTGGTCTTCGAGCTTCTGCAATTGTGTGTGTTGGGTAATTCCAGAATTTGACAGCAACTCAGTAATGCGATTTTGCATTAATTTTATCTTTATATCGTGCGAGGCAGTGATTCTTGTATTCATTTCATTGTTCATTTGTATTGATGCTTTCAACGATGTTATCAGATAATCCTTGTCCCTGCACTTCTCATCAAAGAGATTTGCCTTTTCCTTGTGAATCGCTAATTGTATTTCAGCTTCAGTTAATTTTCCTTTGAAATCTTTGATAGTCGTTGCGTTTTTTAAAATTTTTTTTTGAGAATGCCTTAGGAGCTTCAACAATATTTGGTGATCTCTCACTTCTTCATTTGCGAGTACATCTTCGATATCTTCCGAGTCACTGCTTAGCTATAAAATGAATACATACATACAAACAAACCCGTCGAAAACACTTAATTTTATATGAACTAACCGAATTATTCTCAGACGCAGATACTTCCTGGGATAAATTGTTTAACTTCGTATTACTCATGCTGATGAAAAATGTATTTCGATTATACAAATTACGAGAGCATAGTGGGGGCAAAAGCATTTGGGTGTATTCGGAATTCTCGATTCTTTTTGCGCCTTACAGCACATTTGATCACTTTTCTGCCTATCAACGCAACTATCAGCACTAATAACCACAACAAAACAGCTGATCTGATACAAAAATTCAATTTTCCGGGTCAAATATGTTCTTAAACAAATCAAATTTAATAATCGTATAATACTGCGCGCCAATTAATTAATTATTATAAAAATAAGATAAGCATACAAAGCGGGAGCGATGCAGCCACTACAAAGCATTATCCACTCTAGTCATTTTTGAGATATGACCCTGAACTTTATTAAATTGGGTTTCAATCTCAATCTTGAGTGGCCACGACTCATAGTCATTCCAAGGAATCCAAACAGCGTCTGCAAATTGCCATTCTACAATAAATAAGATCATGCAACCATTGGCATCATTTGAATTTACATTCCCATTTTATGACTAGTTTTAATTTAGAATTTTCAGAAAATTCTGCCCGCTACTCTATTAGGTACATTTTTACCTACATGATTTACGGATTGGGTCAATAGCGGCAAGCCGTCAGAGTATAAATATGTATAACTTTAGTGATATACTACTATTTGTATGTACATTTTTAAGAGACTAAATAAATGCGCTTTGCGCTTCGCTCCTGGCTCCTAGTACTTGTTGATGTTGAACAATCGCACGCCATGGAACTGTGGCAGCTTGGGCAGCGTGACGACAACTAGGGACACAAAGTTGGCAATAAAGTGCTCGGTACTGTTCCGGGTGTAGAGACAGGTGAGCAAGAAACTAAAAGCAGAAATGCCTGATTAAATATGCCAAATGGTATTCCATTGAGGGATGCACATACAGCACAATGGGAACGGCTGTTAAGAACTTTCTGGTGGTCGTCATCTGAATGCCGTCGTCAATCTGCTCCCAGTGCGTCCAGCGGCGGCTCGGGTCGTTTTCGATGCTTAGCCAAGGCGCTCCCTTAATGATGTGCAGGAAGTACAAGTGGGCCTGGGGCAAAAATGGAACGCTCACAGAATAACCAAAGTGGACGGATATGATATATGTAGTCTTACCAAATTGTGAATCAGGTTTGTCGCTGTCCAGGCCCAAGAAATACTGACAAAGGGCAGAGATAAGAGTATCAAATGAATGGACAGTAAACCAAGGAAGTACGCCAGCCAAAAGCCACGTGCACTCAACCAGGAGCTGTTGGGGTTCGGCTCCCCGTGGCCACCGGCAATGCTCGTCATCGGATTTAATTGTTATCAATTGATTTACTAAATTATTTTATAACGTAAACAAGTTGTTTTTCTTGATGGCTAATCGATAGTCGATAGGTGCTAGCAGCCCTGCTGCACCCAACAGCACATTTTGTGCGCTATGTTAGGCGCATGTAAATCATTTGAAATACAAAAACTTCAAACAGAAAATATATATGATCAAATGCAAACACTCTTAATATATACATATGTATGCATATAAGTACAGTATATATTTGATCAAATGCAAACACTCTTATTATATATGCATGCATATAAGTACAGTGGAATTTCGGAAAAAAGAACCTACATATTAGAACTGTCCAGAAAATAGAAGCTGTGGTTTTGTATTGCCCATGGTTTTGCTTTTGTTTGAAGAAAAAATAAAAATGGAACTCCCCGAAATATTCATACACCACGAATATTTCGGGGATTCCCACGAAAATCCGGTCATTTGCATGTGTTATGTTATGTTGTGTTAGTTGATGACTAAAGACAAAATGAAAATTTAAAAATTAAAAAAACCTTAAATGTACTTTTTAGGAATTTTAATATGTTTAATTAATTATTTAGTAATAAAGAAAAACTGTTTTGTATTATGAGACTATTTTTAATGTTGTTTTTTCAGATATTAGATCTCCCCAGGAACACAGTTGTTCTAAACTCCAAACTTCCACTGTACTAAAGAAAACTTATCAGTAATACATGGTATTACCGCGAAGATTACGTTAGTTGGCTGATGAAATATGGGTACTTTCCCTTTTTCATACATAGCATTACCCGAAGATAACGTCAATTACCCGAAGATATCGTCAGTTGGCTGATGAAACTTTTCACTCACTATTGCATGAGTGTTGACGTCAGGAATACAAGACCAGGCTGCTATATAAACCAGTGCAAGAACGGATAGCCATGCAGTGTGAAATATTTACTCGAAGTATAAGAACGTTTTTGGGAAAGTTCGACGACAATGAGTGAAGGTGCGATCTATACATCGGAGAAACGGGGAAGCGACGAGTCCGGAAACGGCACCCAGAGCAAGCCCTTCAAGACGATTCTCCATGCAATGCGGCTGGCGGGCGCTGCGGAGCTCTACGAAACCATCTATGTGGATAGCTCGGAGCCGTCCAAAGTTTTTGAGCCGGCTGCCAAGTCTCAGCTGAAAAAGATCCAGAAGGTGCTGCAACGCGATGGCGTGAAGAATGTTGGTAAGGAGTTCCGCGAGGCAGAGGACGCGGAAAAGCGCCAACAGAACTTGGAGGAGGCACGCAAAATTAAGATTAAAGAGGATACCAGATTGCCATTGGCCCGAAAAATAAAAATCGAAAAAGGAGCCGAAGCCCCTGGAGTTCGCGTCAAGATCTATGGCTGGGTGCACCGACTACGGCGGCAGGGCAAGGCGCTAATCTTCCTCACCCTGAGGGACGGCACCGGATTCCTGCAATGTGTGCTTACCGATTCGCTGTGCCAGACATACGACGCCCTGGTCCTGAGCACCGAGAGTTCCGTGGTGCTCTATGGCACACTCAAACCGGTGCCAGCAGGGAAGATCGCACCCGGTGACCATGAGCTGCGTGTGGACTACTGGGAGCTGATCGGGCTGGCTCCCCCAGGTGGGGCCGATGCGATTCTCAACGAGGAAGCTCTTCCCGATGTACAGCTGGACAACAGGCACATAATGATTCGGGGCGAGAACACCTCCAAGGTGCTCAAGATGCGGTCCGTCGTGATGCAGGCCTTCCGCGACCACTACTTTGCGCGCGGCTACAACGAGGTTACGCCCCCCACCCTGGTACAGACACAGGTAGAGGGCGGCGCCACACTCTTCAAGATGCAGTTCTTCGGCGAGGAGGCCTTCCTCACACAGAGCTCGCAGCTGTACTTGGAGACTTGCCTGCCCGCCCTGGGTGATGTCTTCACTATTGCCCAAAGCTATCGGGCCGAGCAGAGTCGCACACGCCGCCACTTGGCGGAGTACACCCACGTGGAGGCAGAGTGTCCATTCATAAGCTACGACGATCTGTTGGATCGGCTGGAGGACCTCGTTTGCGACGTTGTGGATCGGGTGCTGAAGTCGCCATTTGGCCACCTGGTGATGGAGCTGAACCCGGACTTCAAGGCACCGAAGAAGCCTTTCCGCCGAATGAACTATGCCGATGCCATCAAATGGCTGAAGGCGAACAACGTGACCAAGGATGACGGCACCTTCTACGAGTTTGGCGAGGACATTCCTGAGGCCCCCGAGCGCAAGATGACCGACACTATCAACGAGCCCATTCTACTCTGCCGCTTTCCCGTGGCCATCAAATCGTTTTACATGTCCCGCTGTCCGGAGGACCAGCGGCTGACCGAGAGTGTGGATGTTTTGCTGCCAAACGTGGGCGAGATTATCGGTGGCTCGATGAGGATTTGGGACAGCGAAGAATTGCTAAAGGGCTATAAGCGTGAGGGCATCGATCCCACACCCTACTACTGGTACACCGATCAAAGGATCTACGGAACAATGCCTCATGGCGGTTATGGTCTTGGGCTAGAGCGTTTCCTCTGCTGGCTGCTTAACCGATATCACATTCGGGAGGTCTGTCTTTATCCACGTTTTCTCGACAGATGCAGGCCCTAATTGCATTTTAGTGAACATATGTATGTAAATATATTCCCAACGTACATACACAAATAAACACATACATATATATATAGCACATGTATCAATGAAGAATAAATCCAAAAAATTAACTAAATGTTTAGATCTGTTAGGAAATTGATTGATTAATCGGATAAAAGGTTGCGGAGGATCCTAGCTAGCTAGTAATATTAAAAGCCCCCTTATTGTTTTACAGTTTTTTCCTCGGTATATTTTCAAATTGAGATGGTATATTTTGGTATATTTTTGAGTGTCAGAGGGTATATTCTTCCGATAAATCCGCGGTCACACTGATCACAATGGCCATTTTGTTGTTTTGCGTTGAAAATTTTCGGGTTTTAATTTAGCGAAAAAGAATAATGGTGTAGGTATAGTTACTAAATATTCAGAGGTAAATGGTAACAAATAAAATGGTACATTTGAACAACTAAATTGCTAAAGCAAGGCAGGCAGAAAGCAAACATAAGAACGATGAGTGGAACAAATGCAAAATCCTCGTCGGCGGCGGGAGGTAAGTGGCAAAAATTCGATGTGGAAATTAAGAAAAAACTAAATGTTATTGAAAATTATCTATAGGTGGCTTTGGTAGCCATATACCCAGCATTGAGGAAAAGAATAAGCAAATTCAGCAGGAGACCATGATGGAGAAGCTGAGAGCAAAGTACCGGAACAAGCCGAAAACGTATGAGGAGATCAAGAAGTCGGTGAGAATGTATTTCATTGAGAAGCACTATCCACTGGATCCCCTCTGCAAGGCAACACTGCAGTCGGCGTTGGACAAGCTTCAGCACTATATCAAGGTTACCTCGAGGCATGGCCTCGTGGAGCGATTGGAGAGCCTGTCCCGGCAATTGGGTCTCAAGTTCATGGAGGATCAGCAGCTCCTGTTTATTTCCACGGACATGTTTTACGTGGAAATTCTGCTCGACGCCAGCGGTAATCTGTCGGACGTCAAGGTGCATCATGAATGTAAAATAGAGCAGCAATCGAGTGAATTGGTAAAGTGCCTGAAGTCCGGAGACTTTGCCGACTTCACCGTTCAGCTAGAGGGTCTGTCCTCAATTTACCAACTCAATGCCGAGCCAAAGGTCAAGAAGAAGGCGTTTGTGGCCTTGCAGGCCATGGAAACGGACATCTACAGTCTCTACAGTCATCAGATGCCAAACCGCACGGGCGACAGCTACGAGATCATGAACAGCTCTGCCGTGGGTCTGGTTCTGCAGCGGCGCGGCGGCCATCCCATGAAGCTGACCTACTTCTGCCCCCCCATCCACCTGGCGGATGGCGATTCGAAGGTGGCAAGCAGCGAGTTTAGCATTGATCAGGTGATGCACAGCAGTCACGGACTGAGTGCCACCGTTAACCTGGAGGGCTCCTCGGCCAACAAGCTTCAGCTTATGCCCATTCTAAGCTTCAGTCGCGATCCGCAAACGGGCCTGGAGATGCCCACGTATGCCCCTCTCAATCAAAACAACTCCATGCTGATGCCGGCCACCTATGTGCTGCGTCTGAACAAGCCCATGCCCGTGTGCTACGAGACCCTTAAAAGTCTAGGCCTGCCGGGCGTAGAGGGCATGACACCAGCACCCTCGTCACCAGTCGCCACTGTGCTCAATTTGATTGTGCAAACCGCCTCTAAGCAGGCGATAAAGAACACCCAGAGGGGCCTCTATGTCAATCTGCCCAAGGAGACGCACTGCTATTTCTTTACGGACAATCGCAAGCTGCAGGGTGCACTGATATCGTCCCTACCCTTCACAGAGCCCGCCCAGGTGCCCAAGATAATGGCGTTTCTGAAAAAGCAGGCCCTCTTCTACACGCTTCTCGCCAGCTGTGTGCGAGAACAGCAGAAGCAATACAATGGTGAGTTCTCTACATTCTACCTCTTCTGTCATGCTCTGTCTCAGCCGCAAAACTTTCTCTCGGTTTAGACATGGATAGCACTGTGATACTGGAGGTGACGGCCGTCTCCTTCAACCAGATCACTGTGGAGCTGCAGCACCCCTATGAGGAGTCGCTGGCCACAGTGGATTTCCTGCTGGAGGATGGCCAGGCCACATGCAGCATCTATTGCCTGAACAACGAGTATGAGATGCTCTCTCAAAAGCTGACACGGACTGTGCGGAAAGTCCTCTCCATCCCGATGGTCATCTACAAGCTGCTCAAGTGCTGGGATGAGGAGCATCAGTTCAAGTTGCACGGCGTGATTGGTCCTGGAGCGGGCGCAGGTGCGGGATTTGGATCGGGAGCTGGAACAGGAAACGGCGGCGGAGGCGGGGGAGGACCGGGGCTTGCTCATGCCCACAATTTTAATCAATTTGCCATGGAAACGGGACCCTCGGTGGATGGAAGCTTGCCCAGCGGCGGCTTCACCAGCATCAACAACCTTAAAATGGAAGCCAAGTCGCGCTCCCTGGCAGATGCTTTTGCGGCCTCCACCTCGGCAGCGGCAGCCATTGCCGGCCTAATAAATCTGAAGCGTGAAACGGATCCTCAATTAGCCCTGGGCCCTGCACCCTCGGGCAACTCCAGTGCCAGCGCAGCCTCCGTTCCGGCGGCGGCCAAGACGAGCGATCATGAGATTGCCGACAAGTATAAAAACATTTGGAAGGATAAGACACCGAACCTCAAGCACTGCGTCAGCATAACTCCCATACCAGGTGACGGTAAGACAGGAGGTGGAGGTGGAGGTGGAGGAGTTCCCGGGGGAAGCAGCGTTGGCGGCGGAGTCCCAGCAGTGGAGGTTCAGCGCACAGGTGGCATAGAGATAATACCATTAAATGCACAGAACCAGACCAGTGGACCTCGGGACGGAGGAAGTGCGACCTCCACAACGGCACCCACTACCATAACCATAACTCCGATTACCGGCAAGGATCCAGCCAAGGAATCGTCCAAGAAGAGCAGCTCAGCTCCTGCCGGGGTAAGTGTCGCCACGAAGCGCCCACACGAAAGCAGTGCCAGCGCTTCTTCTTCGTCTGCCGGCAGCGGAGGGAGCAGCTCCTCCACATCCTCCACCGGCAGCAGCAGCTCATCCTCCACGGATACGCAGAAGGAGAAGAAGCGCAAGAAGAAACGCGATGATTCCCCCATGGGTCCCCCGGAGAAGATATACTCCCGCCAGAACTCGCCAGCGGCTGGTGGAGATGCTTCGGCACCCGGGGGCGTGGTGAGGAAGTTTTCCTCTCCCTCGTCCTCGCCCAAGGCCGGTGGATCCGGGCAGGGCCTAATGGCTGGCGTGCCTCCGGCACGTCCCAGTCCCAAGCATTCGCCCGTCTACAGCAGTCCCAAGCACAACACCGCCTCGAACAGTCCCAAATCGCCGTTTGGAACCCACTCGCCCAAGCACGGCTCCTCGGGAAAGCCGAGCATGTCCACTCTGAAGAGTGCGGCCACAGCGGGAACTAGCCTCAGTCCCAAGGGTGACAAATCATCGTCGTCCGTCGGCGCTCCTCCATCAGCATCGGCAGGATCATCCACAGGAGCTGGTGGCAATCCCAGCCTGGTGCGTTCCTTTGCAAGCGTTGGAGCTCCGCCACCACCACCGCCGGTGCCTTCTCTGAGCAGCGCCAGCAGCAGCAGCAGCAGTCAACAGAGCGGCAGCTCGGGCATTAAAAAGGAGAAATCCTCCTCTGCAGGGGCCTCTTCGTCGGCGGGAGCTTCTTCTGGCCCCTCCGTTGGTAGTGGCGGCGTCGGTGGTGTCTCTCCAGCCAGTGTGGTGGCTGCCGCCAGCGTCGCTGCCGCTGTGGCGGCTCTGAAAACCTCCCAGCAGCAGCAGCAGCAGCAGCAACAACAACAACTGCAGCTCAAATCATCTGTGGCCAGCTTGTCGCATCTGGCTGCTGGAGGCAGCCTGGGCAGCTATGCGGGAGCTGGAGGAGCAGCAGTGGCGGCAGCAGCGGCAGCAACGGTGGTAGCAGGAGCGGGAGCGGTGACAGGTGCTTCGGCCATGGAACTGAGTGCTCTGCGGAAGGGCCTGGCGGGAGGCGCGGTAAGTCCGTTTTCATTATAAGAGCTCCTCCACACCCTCCCCCACCATCTACACCGGCTCCGGCTCCGCCTCCAATCCTAACCCGTAGTTGGCTCACTAGCACTTGTCCTAAACAAAAGCAGACTAAATCCTTAAACTAATGCCAACGTGTATCTATATTTGATATAATTGTGAAAAGATTTGTAATCGCTTTAGTCCTGCTGTAGTTAAAATAATTACAATTATTATTTAGCTCTTTGTTTGTGTGTTTGTTTTTCTTTGCTTAATCTTTGTAAATATATATACATATTATCCTTTTAGTTGTCACATCCTGCATCCGTTTTATTTTCGACTTAATCCTAAAATGTAGTTACGGTTGTGGGGCTCTCTCCGGCATCCAGATCCCCCAAGCGACCCTCTAACCTCCTCTTATCCTGCACTAAGCACAGCACGTACGTAGATATTTTACGAATGTGTTGAATTCTTTGTAGCTTTGTCTTTGTCCCGCACCAGCGATTGCATGTCTCCTCCATTAAAACATATTATCCGTACCAGATAGATGTTCGTTGCAACAATTACTAGTTTTTGTGTACGTATAGATTGGTTTCCGACCTGGTGGCTACATATGGACAGAAATTGTATCGCAGCTAAGCCCATTCCATGGATAATAATTGCATTTAAAACCTGTGAATGTGCCTGTGCCTATGCACGTGCACGTGCTATATTCTGTATTGTCTCTCAGTATTCTGTTAGACTTAACACTCACATACATATAGTACATTTAAATATAATCTGACCTCAGTAGAAGATTTGTCTTGAAGGGTCTCTTTCCGATTGGAAATGTGATTCCTTCAACGCCTATGGCTGTGGTCAAAAACTTATAAAAGGTTTAAGCGAATTACTAACGGGGTCTGCTTTTCTTCTCTCTTCTCTCTTCTCTCCACTCTCTTCCCAACACACACAAACTCTTTTTCACAACTATTTAATTTTGGTTCGTCGTTTTTTATTGTTATAATTTTGTGTTTCTTCCGGTTCGTTTTTGGTTTGTGTTTGCTCCCCCGCCATGGTACGCACGCTCACGACCACACACCACCACACCCCATGCTTACTTTGTCAGGTTAGTTTGATGACGTCGACGGCAGCTTTAGCAACAGCAATCCCAGCAATAGCAACAGCAGCAGCAGCGGGAACGGGACTGGGAGTGGGAACAGCAGCGTCAGCGTCAGCGGGAGTGGCAGTGGGAGCAGCGGCATCAGCGGCATCAGCGGTACCAGCGGCACCACCACCAGCAACGTTTCAACAGCAGCAGCCGGGAGCAGCGCCACCTAGTAGCTGCTTAGCCACTAGCGGGCCCAGCAGCAGCGACGCAGGTGGAAGCAACATCACAAGCGGAACATCCTCGGAGTATATGGTGAAACCCAGCAGCCAGGAAGGCCTCAAGCTGACAATCAACAAAACGGGCAGCAGCAAGAGCTCCAGTTCCGGCGCAAGCTCCTCAAGCGGCATGGGAAAGACGAAGGGCAGCAGTAGTGGCTCGAGTGGGGGCGCAGCAGCCTCGTCTAGCTCCTCGAGCTACGCCAAAAAGCAGCACACGGGCCTGAAACCCGGAGTGAACAGTGGACCTGCCTCCAAGAAAGCCACAGCGTCAGCAACAGGATCAACAGCAATCGCTGGCGGCGGCTCCTCCTCCTCCAGCAAGCATCTATTTCAGAAGGCCAACTCGTCGGGCAACTTAAGCAGCAAGCTCAGCGGATCCGCCAGCGGCGGTGGTGTACTGCTGACCAAAAGCAATAGTACCAACTCCTTCCCAGAGCACAATGCCCCCAGGCGTCGACCCAGTATGGGAGGCTTAGCCAGCAGCGGCGGTGGGGCAGGAGGGGCTCAACGAAAGGGTGGCTCATCTGCGGGTGGAGGTGGCTCTTCGGGAGCCGTGTCGCCGGCAGCTCTCACTGGCTCCATGTCCCAGCCGCCGCCTCGGTTCGATCATCACACCGACATGATGACCATTCTACAATATGCCTCACCCACGATGGCCGCCAGCATGGAGGGCTTCATCAAGGGACTGCACAACAAGTTTCAAATACCCAAGTTGTCGCAGCGCGGGAGCGGTGGCAGTGGACGGAGCACGCCCAGCAGCACTGAGCAGACTTCGACAACATCGGCTACGACTGTTGCCTCCACAGTTGCCAGTTCCAGTGGACTGTCAGATCCGGACACAAAGCCTTCGGCACCGCCGCCTCCGTCGGGCAACGATCTGCTGCTGAACCTTAGCACCACGGCGCCAATGCCCACTGGCGATGGCATCGATGAGGAGCTTCTGGCCAGCCTGGCTGGCGAATGACACCATGCGATGTTCCTGTTGCTCTATTCCGCTTTGCGACTCTCATTTAATGGACAACTTATGTGGAATCGTCTTGTTACTGGGCTCAAAAACTAAGCTACATCAATACTCGTACTCGTATACATATATGATTATAGATTTTCTCATTATATTTACATTTTTAATAGATTCGATTCGCAAATTATTCCGTAAACCGTATATTTATTGCCTTGTATCTCGTATCTCACGATCTGCATGTGCAACAGTTGCAACCTAACTTTAAATTCAGTTTCCTCCGATAGGCTTACGGATTTTCCTATTCTTAATATACGACACAAGAAATTTGGTACAAAATCTCAGAGATTATCACGTGCTGCTTGTAAAACTGTGTAATGGCGGGCAAAAACAAAACTCATGTTAAACTTTGGTTCACAAAATGTATTAGGAAACATTTATTGATAGCGATAAGATACCATATTGTGTGTGGACCGATCGCTCTAAACATTATGTAAAATATAATATAAATATAAATATTTGTATTCAGTTGGAGACATCAAATGAGACCACTATGTGTATTTATTGGGAACCAAAGACTGTTTCTTACCGATGAGCGCTAAGCAATACTGAGCATGAATAAACCCGACTAAATTAGACTGAAAGTTCATACATGCCATAAATCTTTAATGTTGCAAAAGGCAAAATGGTGTCCAGCTAGAAGACAAACAACAAAAGTAACAAACACTATTACTCCTTTTGGTTTGATTACCGATATAACATATCGGAGTTACTACATATGACAGCTATTCGTAGACATAGGATTATGTACATATGTTATTCATGAATATATCAATTCCTTCCTCCCTTCATGTCACTCAAATGAGTTGAGCTGCCCATTTTTAATTGTGTTGGCGCGTCAAAGAACGCAGAAGATACCAAAAAAAATATATATAATACTAAGCTACGCCCTCAAATCAACGATGCGGCTAACCATCATGGCGAAGGCATCGAGACGGAAACACAAATTCATTGCGGTGCTTGCCAGCAATGGAAACATGTGTTCGTGGTGTCCTGCTCCTCCGTAGAAGCCCACACGAACACACACACATGTGTCTTGATTTCGGTGGCAGAGTAACGGTTACCGTTAGCATTTCGCTTTTATTTCCGTTCCCCGGCAGCGGAAGACTAGTCAGAAATTTCATAACTGCCAGCAGAAGCTGCTTCACTTGAAATTCAATTATTACTCGCTTGCACAGGGCCCCGCCGAGGATAGAGACCTCTTTTATGTGTGTGTGATACACACACATATACACACATATGCCTTTAGATGCCGACCAAATCTGTGATTTATACTCTCTGTACCCTATCAAATATGAGAGTCAAGAGTCGAATCGACCAGCCTTGGCAGGAAGTAATAATATTTTTTGTTATTTGAAGTAAGCGATGTGGATGTGGATGGATAGGTGCTACAGATCCTTATTCGGATCAGTGGTAGTGGGTTATTTGAATAAGGATTTAACGAGGTATCGATGGCTTCGACTTTAATCTGGCTTTTCATTTTGTTTTATTGGAACAGTTCAGCTGCTTTTCTAGCTGAATTGATTCGACAGTCTGTCTCATGGGCTTTCTGTCCGGTGAGGGGGCTGGGAAAACAGAACCGCATTAACAATTTAATGAACCCCCATGAAGCTGCTAGCCACTTGATTGTGCCTGTGGCTTGCCTCATGTCCTACCCTGATTGGATTCAGTTGATGTTTTATCTGCTCCTTCGAGTTGCAGCTTTAACGATTTCGCATTAGGCCACGCCCTGCCACAGCCACAGGTACAAGGCTGAGACTGTTGCCATTGTTGCATCGACAAAAGCAAACCCAATTTACATAGAATAGCTTGAGGTTATCGGATCCAGCTCCTTCCTCTAGCCGCAAAAGTGCGCCTGCAGCGCTTTTAATATGCAAAGCGGGCCACATCCGGATGCAACATCGCCCGCTGCCCGCTCCCCACTCCGCACTCCGCACTCCCGAGTATGTTCTCCCACTGCCAACCTCTTTTTTCAGGATAAAGAGTGCTAGACGGGAGAACACCCCAACATTTTTATGCACAACACTTTTGCCCTTTCACTTGGGGGCCTGCCTGCAGCCCGGCATCCATGCAGCCCCTCCACTGACTCCTCCAGTTGTTGACTCGGTTAACTTTGGCCCAGGGGCGGCTTACAAACAGGCCATAAACGTCGAGTCAGGCTATAAAGTTAAAGCTGATTATGCGAGTATATCTTAAGTAAACTATCAAATGCAAATGGGGGATGGGGGGGTTGGCCTGGCCTGGCCTGACAAAGTCGATAGGAATCAAGATTCCGAGATTCTGTTGTGCCTGAAATATCTATGCACATTAACCAGCTTGAAGATATGTTTTACCAAGGCGACACAGGGCTTGCCTTTAAGCCGTCGTAAATCCCTGAGAAATCCATAAAACAACTTGCCCTATCGGACCAAAGCTGCAGGTAAGCGACATCTCCATCCGCATCGCCATTAGCAGATGCGACAAATGCATTTGGAATGCAATTCAATTTCCATTTTGGCCCCCTCCGCGTCCTTGGCGGTGGCTTCGGATGCTTTCACTGCTGTTAGTTTTGGATTGTTGGCCTGAATTTACCAAAAACGTTTTTCCAGCAGTTTACTGCAGGTCGCTGCGACATTTCACTTGGCATGGCTTAATTTCCAATTGACACTGGGATATTGGCGGTGGATTAGTTTCGCTCCCGCTCGCAAATCGATTCCCGGAGAACAGCTGAAGGCGGAATAACCTAGAGGGAACTCTACCACCCTGCCATCCGCCAGGCCATTAGCAAATATGTTAAACTCTGTTTGCACTGAGCTTGAGTTAAATTGCGATTACAGCGGTAGATTATTGTTTGAGTAGTTTGGGCACGGGAAAGAGAAATGCGAACACAACGGGAAAATTAAATTCGATTAAAAGGTGTGCCAAGGTAAGAAAAATCTCGTAACGGAATTAAAGGATTATCATAATATATGATACAGATTCCTCCGATAAAATATATATGCATGCACACAATTAACAACTTGATTTTTCACACATTTATCTTAGCTGGGAACCAACTCCTTTCAACAACCGAATACACAAAGTTTCAGAGGGGAAAGGACAAGCCACGTGTCAGGAGCTTTAATGAAAATTGTTTGTTTGCTTGGCTTTTTTTGGGCAGGTGAAAAGTAATTGAACTTGTTGCCAAACTTTGTCCATCAGGCCGACCGACAGCTGTTGTCTCAAATAATCTGCCTTCCACCTTGACTGGCTTGGCTCTCGTCACACGCTCCGTTTGCGCTTTGATGTATGATATGATTTGTTTTATTGCCTCGTCCTTCCTCCCGTCTGGCCACCCCCAATCCAGCGTCGCCGCAGACCACCAGTCTAGTTTGGAACATTTTTGAGAAAACTTTTTCAGAGGAAGTTTTCGTTTTTGTCCTCTCTCACCCGTCTTCCTTCCCACTTGCATTATCTTACGAGTAGCTGGCGGTTTGGTCTGTTTGTTCAGTTGGCCGCAAATTATTTGAATTCGGCTCCTCGCCCCACTTAAATACCCGTCGATTAATCTTTGGGGTATCTGTTTCTGTGTGTGTTTGGGATTTGTCTTTGTGTTGGGCTTGGGCTTGGGCTCCCGCTCCCTGGTTTCCTCTTCTGTTTGTTTGCAGTTCGAAAATATATGTACATATATATTTGCGTGCACTTTACAAGCTCTTATAGTTTGCTTTGATAATGTGTCAGGAAACTGTTTTCTGGGGCTTGCTTTTCGATTTTGATTTTCGCCTCTGGCTATGTTTGGTGCGTGTGGGCGTGGCAGGTCTGTACTGGGCAAGATCTAAGTAAACTTGGGATGAACTGGCCTTTCACAAAGGATTGGAGTGAAAGTGTTTCGGTGGTAAGAAAATCAATTTTAGAATTTATTGAATCAACGTGTAAAGAAAAGCGTATGACATTCGCCCCAGCTGGCAATATAGTGAATTTCAATGCCTCACAAGCATATCTGTGCTTATCACGTCCTAAGTGAGGAGCAAGTGATTGGCCTCGGGACAGGATGGAGAAGTTCCAGAGGTTTCGCTTCCTGCCCTGCTTTATTTGGACATCTTTCAAATCGTTGTGTTTGTTTGCTTATATGGAAGGTTTGCGGGCCCAACGCGGGGCTGTGGAGTTGCGTATTATAATCAAAAATCGCCAACAAATCGAACACTTGCCCTGCCTGACTACCCGACCTGCACCTGGACCTGGTTGTGGGCCCATTCGTTCCCAAACATGTTGCTGCCAGGCAAGCGTGTAAATGCAATTTCCGTTTGGTGCAACCGGAATTTCGTGCAAGCCATGTGGGATCGGAACGACCAACTGACTGGTTGACTGCCTGACTGGTGGACTGATGAACTGGCAATGATGACTGGCAAACCGACCGAAAGCCATAGAAGGGCCTGCCAGCGTGCCTTAATCCAGCGAGCAATCGAAATTCTCTTCAACAAGTACATTTATTTTGGGCGCGATCTAGACTTGTTGGTTTAAAACTCCACCATTTTAATTTGGCTTGTGACAGAAACTACTTTCAAATCGAACATACTTTATTTATTATTACATAAACTAAATTTCTTAAAATCTTTGTTATGGATTTCATAAGAAAGAGCTCGACAAAACGTACATGTATGAGTGATTTCCGTGATGCCCCCTGGCAGCTGTAGATGTGTATGTACAGTGTACAATGTACATATATTGAACTCGTGAATATCCCCCTTAACCCTTGGCAAGTGCAGCGTTATTGCAGCGCTCTACCCGGGCTCCCACCCCCTCGATGGCCATTTCGCTTTATTGCTTTCGGTATATTGATGCTTCATATGGCTGCTGCCGGCCCTTGCGAGCTCATTTTATTGGAATATATTTTTATGGACCGTTGACTTCGGATTCTCCTTGTGGCTGCTGCTCTGTTCTGCTGGGTATCCTTTTATAATAATTTGATGTGCATTTATGGGATGGCATCGTTTCATTTGTTTTAACAGGAATTGCTGTTTTTCTGTGAATTGAATCTGGTTGACGCCCTGAAGAGGTTTGTACACGCAATAGTACGATTGATGTAATAACAATGTAACACTGTCCACTGTCCTTCAAGTCGATGTATGTAAGTTTGCATTAAGTTTGTCCCCAAATTGGGTAAAATTACTCGGATATCCAATATTTGCACACAGGCAAATAGAAAGAAAGCCCGCATATGGGCCAACAGCACCTCAGAGCGTCCCTCATCTTTGACCTCATGTCGTTTGCTTTGTGGCATCCAATTTGCTGTCTGGCTAGCCAAATGTGCTGTGCAGTTGCTGCATTCCTTAAAGTAAATAATGTTGGGTATGCTTTAATCCAAGCCCCAGACAGCCCAAGCAAACCGTTTCCTTGTATGAGTCTTCAATTTAATCCATACAAGAAGTCTTCGTGGGTTATCCTTTGGCTGCCATGCCCCCAGATGGGAGAGCAAGCAATTATAAAAATATAAAAAGCCCAAGCCACTTGAACAGGAGTAATTTGTCTTGCAATTAACTTGGGGGAAGGAAGCATCTGGGGTGGCATTTTCCACTTTAGAACTCCAATTTAGAGGCAGATTGTAGGAAGCAGCTCCCATAGAGATGAGCGGGTTAGCGACTCACGCATGCAGAGCTATCGGTGCTAGTCCTTCGATAAAATCAGACTTGCATCGATAACCGATTGAACCTACCAGTGTACATATGTATGTATGTGTTAAAGCTGTCCTTGATGAGTCACCCGCTCATCCCTAACATGCATGTACAATGAACACCTTTTGTTGTTCTCATTGCTTGCGCTTGAAATGTCGTCGCGACATCGCTTGACACTTGAACGGCGATAAGCACGGGAAAGGCCAGGGGAAGGACAAGTTCAAAGCAAACAGAAGAAAACAGAACAAAGCCCACAAGAAGGGCGGCAACAACAGCACCAGCTGGGGAGAAGTAAAAAGCTACGCAGAAGACACAAAGAGAGAGAGTCACACATTCAATGGAACGTTAAGGCACAGCACTTATGCACAATAAAAAGTACAGAGCAAGTCATACGAGTTGTCGGCATCGTCATATGGTCATGTCCTCGCGTACCAACCCTGACAGCCCTTGAGGGTTGTCCGGACAATGGCAAATGGCGGACCACGGCTAATGCTTCCGTTTCCTGTGTACCAACGGCAGCAACAGAAGTTGAAGCCATCGCCTGCTTCGGTCTTTTATTGCCGGCTTCCTGCAGTTTGCCATTCACATCCGCTTGTTCGGTCCAATTGCAATCACATTACAAGCCACATTTAATTTAATTTCATGCGGAAATATAAAAGAACTAAAAATCAAAAGCAAATACGCCAGTGTGACCATCATTGTCTGCTGACTCCCGCAAGTCCGCATCGTTTGGTCAGCTTTCTGGCTACATTTTGGTTCGTTAATAGGGCGAAAGTGGTCCTTCGATTGTTGACTCCAAGATAGCAGTGCAACCGCGAATTTGACTCACTCATTGGTAGACTCCTGCTCATGCTTTCGAGTGATTCTCACGGACGCATGCGTTGACTTTGACTCCACTCCGCATCGCCCACACAAAAAATGTTCGAGGTCTCACTTCATAGGAAATGGGGAAAACCTGTTGAACGCTACGCTGCTTTTATCAAAACCAAAACTTATCTTAAATTTAAAGAGCTTGAACTGCAGAAAACGTGCACTAGTCTCCTTAGTTGGTGATTCTCTTTAAGGAATTAGCTCCTAATTGTTCCCTTTGGGCTTCATTCCTGGACAGGGACAGCTGCAAAAGATTTTATTTGATCAGCTCCATCTTGCCAAGGGCCATCAACTGTACCAAGCGGAAATTTTATTCTTTGCAACTTTCCATCGCTGCTTTTCTCAGGAAGTCTTTTTGCCCAAGTGGCAAACTGCTTCGGGGGGCTCTGAAACTTGTTGCTTTGATCAGCTCTCTGGTTACTTGTAAAGAGGATATTTTCGCATTTTTCCCTTTTCACTTCTTAGTGGTCACAGAACCACAGTGACAGTCTCTGCGGCTTTAGCTTATTATTAGATTAGTTCAATAATTCATTGCAGAAACTGACAAGCGGAATAATCTGATTGGGAAAACTACGGCAAACATGTAAATGTAGTTGCAGCTTGTACGTACAAATTTAAATAAATTTGTGTCTTGTCTTTTTTTTTGGCATCCGTATGCCGGACTATTCCAACAATGTCTTCATTTTTCATTGGATCCCAATGGAAAGCTTCCATAATGACCTTGGGCTATGATTCAGTGTCGAGTGGGATTTTAGAATGGTTTTTGATGAGTTATTATAGATGACGAGAAGCGTTATTACAGGCATGCCAATCCATCTTAAGGATAAATCGGCTTAAAGATAAATTCAGTTCAAGGATATCGATATTCTACCTACGTTTTTCAGAAAGGAATTAAAAATAGTTTTGTGTTTTTTCTCCGAAAGACCCTTTTTCAAAACTGTTTTCCCTAATTGCATTTATGGATCTGCACGCGCATCAGCTTAAAAATGGCCAACGGCAAATGAAACTCCTCTCCCTTACAGCGTACTCCGTTGTCTGTTGTTGGTTTTATAATGAAGTGGAAAACAGGCAGCCACCAGTGGCAGTAAAAAGAACAATGGAAGCGTTTAATTTGTGTTGCATTAACATGCGGAGCCCTCTCAATGTCATTCGGAGAGTGGTTCCGGCCATCTATAGGTTCAATTATGTTTGCAGACTGCCAGCACGTGCTCGCTGCCGGCCATTACCGTGGAATTGGCTGATTAAAGTGGGATTGCTGGGGATAAGTACGCTGGCCTGACCAGACCGGATCCGACCGGAATCTGAGTTGCATCTTATGTCAGTGTTACAGTTGTGCACATAACAACGACGGACAATGTTAATTAATTCGCCACTGTCCCAAAAATGATTAATTCCTGATTATTTCATGCAGCAAAAAGTTCTTACAGTTACATATGTATATACGGAAATGGGAAGGGGTATATGCATTGTAGGAAGCATTTCGAAATTGGAAGAAATTGAAGTTCAAATCTACATATTTACATGAAGATAATTCATAAAATACCAAATAGCCCAAAATAAAATGTAAAGAGAAATCTGATCTATAACTCTATAACTAATTACCGTCAGAAAACCTTAGAAGCGCATTCGACCATCGCCTTGCCATTCGTTGACCTGTTTGTGCAGGTTTAATTAAGAGGCCATGCTGCAGTACAACAGCAACCTGCACTCCTGGTGTTTCATTTCCGGTTTCCTCTTCGTTTTCGTACTCAGCATGGGACGCTGCTCAACTTTTGTCGGACGCCTGTCAAAGTCACTGGGAATCGAAACAGGACCCAGATGGCCATCAGAACTCCATTCTTCTGTCCTTCCCCGTGCACTCTTCTTTGTTTTCATTGATGGCACTCAACGACTCGGTATTTGCTGCCATTTGTTGCTGCTGATGTTGTTTGTCACATGCGTGGTGCACACACACACACACACACACACACAAACACACACATAGCCAAGTAAACTCAAACACACACACCTCAGATAATGGTGCTGTCAGAACCGCATTGAACAACATCAATCATACGCACGGTTGTACGTTCTTACATCTGGTCTCATCTTGCCAGTGACGTGACTTGAAGCGGCCCTTCCACTCCAATCCACTTGCTGCGGGCACCTTTGACAGGGTTTGCATTTGGGAATGTTCGAGTATTCGGTCCATTTGCCTGTTGCCACTTTATTTTTTTTTGCTTTGATTAATGGCATCCCAAGTGGCCTTGATATCGGACCATGCCAAACACTCCTGCAACTAAAATAATTAGATATTTTTAGGGAGATCATATGAGAGAAGAGTGTTTCTGGCTGTTATTGGGTCAATATTAGGGATGTATAGCTAATGTATTCTTCAAGCCTTTTCCGGGGTCTCCAGTGTCTCTAGACACATCCATCCATTCTGTTTACCCAGCAGGTGCTGCCCACTTTTATCACAATTCATCAAATTAATAAGTCGCCGTAAACTGATAGCCATCAACTCTAGAACGTGTATGTGTGGAATGGGCTGGGCTGGGCTGGGCCCGTCCAGAGCTGTCTGTCTGTCTCTCTGTCCTGTTGGAGCGAATTGCGTCGACATTTCTAATAATAACTGTGCGCACTTTCTAATTGCTTGCTGAAATGGCAGCCAGCGACAAGGCAAATATCCACATTATCGCAATTCGGACACGCAAACACTGTCACGGGGTCGGTGTGACCCTTGGTCTAGGGTGGCCCTAGGTCAAAGGGAGCCCCAGCAGCTGCAGTGACCTAGCCACAGGGCAAACAAATTATGTTGGTAATTATCAACAGAGCAAACAAAATGAGGTATGGGTTAAAGCTTTTACGGGCTTCACATACCGTTTTTTGGCGTTCGTCATTCAACGAACTTATAAACGGACTCCATTAAAAAACAACCTACAATAATTATATGGAATTTCCCTCCCATTTCCTATACGTGCATAGGAAACGGCGCTGCTGCTGCATGAACAATAAATTTATTTTGTATTTATTTTGGGTCACAAATTAAAAATAAATAGAAAACTTTGCAAATAGTCAATGTCAATAGTGAAATATTTGAAAAAGCCAGAAATGCAATGCAAAAAAAGTTATGTTAAGCCCTAAAAAGCGATCTATCTTAGAGGATATTTATAATATGTCTTATTTTTCTTTTGGGATTGCTCTTCACTCTTTGCCTTCCAATTGTAATTAGAAATCTCAGCATTCCCAGTCAGTGAATCTGACTCCTCTGATTTATGGGTTCATGTGCCAAGAGCAGGGAACGCGCTCGACAGACGCGTTTAATATCCCGTCATTTGATTACTCAATACGAGTGGTGGAGCCAAATCGGAGCAGCGAGGAGAAGAGTGGCAAAAGGAGTAGGAGAGGGGAGGGGTCACACCACTTCCGGCTGTCTTGTTAGGCGTCCTCGTTCGCCTCGCATCTCGACTACTAATTGAGTAATTTATGCGTGTCTGTCGTTACGCTTCCGCCACCCAAGTGAAGGGAAAGGAAAGGCCCTTGCATCTCCAACTCAGGGCCAGTGTCGGGTACTTGCCCCGCCCCGCCCCCCACAAAGACC